AGGAGCCGACTGCAGAAGACATAGACAGAATGGTAAAATGGGTACACACATGGCAGATGTGTTTCAATGTGGAGAAATGCGAGGTAATGCATTTTGGTAGAAAGAATGAGGGGAGCAATAGAGGCTGGTAATACAATCATAAGGGGGGGGTAAAAGAACAGAGAGACCTGGGGGTTCAGGTAAATGAATCCTTGAAGGTGGCAGGACAGGGAGATAAAGCTGTAAAAAGGACATGTGGGATACTAGGCTTTATAAACATGGGCATAGAGTACAAGAGTCAGGAGGTTATGATTAACCCATATAAAACATTGGTTAGGCCTCAGATAGAATACTGCGCCCAGTTCTGGGCACCGCACTATAGGAAGGATGTTAAGGCATTGGAAACGGTGCAGAGGAGATTTACGAGGATGGTACCAGGAATGAGGGACTGTGATGATGAGGAAAGGCGAGAGAGGTTAGGATTATTCTCATTGGAGCAGAGATGGTTACGAGGAGACCTCGTAGAGGTCTTCAAAATCATGAGGGGATTTGACAGGTTAGAAAGGGAAAAACTGTTTCCACTGGTGGGTGTGTCGGTGACTCGAGGTCACAGATTCAGAATAGTCTCTAAAAGAAGCCGCGGGGAGGTGAGAAGAAATGTTTTCACGCAGCGAGTTGTTCCAATCTGGAATGCATTGCCTGAAAGGCCGGTCGAGGCCGATTCGATAACTACTTTTAAAAACGGGGTGGACGGGTATTTGAGGAGGACGGGTTTGCAGAGTTATGGGGAAAGGGCTGGGGAGTGGGATTGACATTACACTGCTCTATTCAAAGAGCCGCACAGACTCGATGGGCCAAATGGCCTCTTTTTTTTGTGCTGTACGATTCTATGATTCTACGACTTTATGATCATCCAACAAAAAGGACTGAGTATGTCTCTTGGAACCCATTCCAACTTCTCCTGGTTGGTAACTCTTTACCCAGCAAGCTCATGTGTGAGTTTTACTCCCTCTCTCCGTCTCCTGAGAAAGTTCTTCGCAAACACTTGCTGAATCTCAGAGGATTGTGGAACAAAATCTCCATAACGTGATGATTATTATTATCATTATTAAAAACTGCAGAGTATTTGGTCGTTCCCACATCCCCACACTCACTAATGGTATATTAAAAAGATCTAATGCTTGCTATATCATGCTCATCATGGGATAATCACACATGATCCCGTCTGTTACCACCTTGTTATCCCGATTGACAGGCATGATCCACTTTTTCAACTGTTTGTTGAAAGGGCAGGAAGTAACCGAGGTAATTTGGTCCAGAGTATCTCCTCTCTTAATAATAATCCTTGCATTTGATATAGCGCTTTTCACATCGGGAGGATGTCCCAAAGCGCTTCACGGAATATACTGTAAAGTGAATTGACTGTATATTTGTGGGCGAACGCGGCAGCCAATTGCGCACAGCAATGTCCCACAAACAGTCGTAAATTGAAAATGACCAATTTATTATTGTTTTGTTTTTTTGGAGGGATTATTATTAGGTGTGTGGAGTAAGGAAACTTGCCCGAGGTTTCGCCCTCTGCCTGGAATTGAACTCAGGTCTCTCACTTGCAAAGCGAGTGCTCTAACCACTGAGCTACAGGACTCCATATGAGACTTTATACATCTGCGCTCTGTTCAGGGTGAATGTTGAAGATCCTGCATCACTGTTGAAAAACATAAGAGTCTCTCCCGGTGTCTTGGTCGACAATCCCAGATTTACATAGTTCAGACCATTTGATCCAGACCATTTGGACATTTGGCCCAACCAATTTGGGCATGTAAATATATAGTGACCACTATAGATACAAAAAATATATGGACCGTACAGTACGGAAACAGGCCATTTGGCCCAACCAGTCTGTCCAGTATTTATACTCCACGTGAGTCCACGTGAGGGTGGGTGGGGGGGGATGGCGGAAGCAGGGAGATTGAAGCACGGATGAAGAGGAGGGTCTTGGGATGGGTCTTGAAGATGGCCAGGGTGGAGGCGAGGTGGAGGGACTGCGGGATGGAGTTCCAGAGGGTGAGGGCAGCGTGGCGGAAGGTCTGCCCACCAATAGTGGAGCGAGCAAAGTGGGGGATGTGGAGTAGGCCAGAGCCCGCTGAGCAGAGGGAGAAAAATGGATGGTAGGGGGTTAGGAGGCCGGAGAGATAGGGGGGAGCAAGACTGTGGAGGGCTTTGAAGGTTAGGACCAGGATCTTGAACTCTATGTGATGGGAGTTGGGCAAGGATGGGAGTAATAGGATTGCGGAGCCTGGTGGGGGAGAGGACACGGGCTGCAGAGTTCTGGATGATCTGCAGCCTGTGGAGGGAGGAGTTGGGGAGGCCGACAAGCAGTGAGTTTGCATAGTCGAGCCTCAATGTAATGAAGGTGTGTATGAGGGATTCAGTGGCCTGCGGTGTGAGACAGTGTTGGAGCCGGGCGACATTGCTGAGGTGGGGGAAGGCAGAGCAGGTCATGGTGCAGATGTGGGGTAGAAAGGATAGATGAGGATAGAGTGGTCGACATGAAGAAGTTCCTCCTAAATTCTCTTTTAGATTTCCCCCAACACTATCTTATACCGGTTGAGGAGTCTCCAAAGAGTTGGAACGGCCTAACTGGGCTATTCTACCCTTTTACAATTTAAACACCTCCATTGGATCCCCTCTTAAATGTTTAATCTCTGCTGTAAAACGTTCTAGCCCAGTTCGTCTTATCCTGATAACAGTAACCTATGAGCCCTGATGTCATGCTCATACTCATACTTTACTCTTTCCATCACTGCTATATACTTGTAGTGTGGCAACCAGAATTGGAAAAGGGAGAGAGTGTGTGTGCCGTCGGAGTGTGTATGGGTGCTCATGTGTATTTTGTGTGGTGTATTTGTGCATGCGAGTGTACTTGTGTGTTTGCGTGTGTGTCTGTGTGTGAGAGATGTACACCAATTCTTATCAGGACACAGGTTGAGGTGACTGTCCTGCTCCCAAGTCTAACTACCGTCGGGAATAGGAGTTGGCCAAACTTTCCCAAAGAGGACAATAACCTGTTGCATCCCTGTTTGTTTGTCAGAAACACTTCGGGGACCCTGGACTTTGAGACGTTGGGTAAATGTTTCCAAACATAAAGAAATAAGTTGGCAGCGAATAAAAATTGAGCAGAAGCTGAGTGGGTCACGGATCGAACCTTGTGCCATCCCCAAGCTCCACGTCAAGGCTGATGCGGCAGCTCAGTGCTGTGGGAGTACAACATTGTCAAAGACATGGTCCTCTTCATGAGATGTTACACTGAGTTCTCATCTGTGTTCTGTTCAGGCGGATGCTGAAGATGTATGTGGGACTGCCAGTGTGGGTGTGGTGGAGGGGAGGAGGGCTTTACGGGGTTTACGAGTGGAGTCCAGTAACTCGGTGGTTAGAGCACTTGCCTCGCAAGCCAGCGACCTGGGTTTGATTCCCCGTCGGGCAATACACTGGGCAAGCTTGCTTGCTTCACACGCCTCTGTTTACCCAGCAGTAAGTAGGAATCTGGTGGTTGGTCAATTGGTGAATTGCTTTTCTGGGGGCAATAATTCCTTCAAAAAATAAACAAATGCATTAAAAATAGATTGGACACTCAATCCCCGACTGTTTGTGGAACGCTGCTGTGAGCAATTCGCTGCCGCGTTTCGTCCACAAATTATACAGTCAATTCACTTTACAGTATGTTCTGTGAAGCGCTATGAGACATCGCAAAGACGTGATAAGGCGCTATATCAAATGCAAGCATTATTATTATTATTATTATTATTATTACCGGTGAACACCCGCCTGGAGAAATCACTCATGTGCTTTGTGCATGTCGCTGTACCCAAATCGCCTGTCAGCTCACCTACAAAACCCTCAGTCACAACACTAATTTTCACCCACAAAGTATAGAGTTAATTCACTTTAGAGTATATTCTGTGAAGCACTTTGAGACGTTGTGAAGATGTGATTAAAGCGATACCACAAATTCAAAGATTATTATCATTGACTGAAAATGTTGATAATTCTTACATTTGATATAGAACCTTTCGCACTGCAAAGACATCTCAAAGTGCTTCATGAGATTTTATTGTAAAGTATACTGACTGCTTATTGTACTCAAATGCAGCACTCAATTGCCACACTGCAAATTCCTGCAATCAGCTGTGAAGTGAGTATAATAATAATAATCCTTGCATTTGATATAGCGCTTTTCACGTCGGGAGGACGTCCCAAAGAGCTTCGCAGAACACACTGCAAAGTGAATTGAGTCATTTTCAGATTTAATGTCTCGGTTTAATGTCTCACCTGAAGAATGCCGCCACATACCACACAGGTCTCTCCCAGCACTGCACTTGAGTGTCAGTCTGAACACTGCGCTCGAAGTCCCCGACCTCTGTCGCACACTGTCACGCATTTTGGTTTGACAACTTTTCAATTTTGTAATAGTGCCAGAGAGGTGCAAAGTTAGTGAATTATTTTTCGCTCTCGCTCGTGCTCTCCCCCGCCTCCTCCTCCTCCTCTCTTTTGTAGGTGAGCCGACAGGCAATTTGGGTACAGCGACATGCACAAAGCAAATGAGTGATTTCTCTAGGCGGGTGTTCACCGGTCATAATAATAATAATAATATTAATGCTTGCATTTGATATAGCGCCTTATCACATCCTTTACTTCACTGTCTCCTTGGGTTTCTCTCTCACTCAGTCTCGTGCTCTCTCACCCTCTCTCTATCAGTCGCTCTCCCTCACCCTGTCACTCTCTCTCTCTCTCTCTCTCTACCCCACCCGTCCCGCATATTTTCTCTCATTTTTTTACTTCTCCATCTCCCTGCATTTATCGCTTTCTCAGTCTCTCTCTCTTTGTGCCCCTCTTCCTGGCACTCACCCTATCACCAAGATACGCAGTGGAGTCAATAAATGACTAGAGGTCAATACTGGTTGATAGAATGTACAAAAACAAGGCAGAAGATCAGAGGATAGTGAGAGAGGGGCAGAGTGAGAGAGAGAGAGAGAGAGAGAGAGAGAGAGTGTAGAGACAGAGTGAAAGATTCTGAATGAGAGTGAGAGGGGTTGAGTGTAACAGCGAAGAGCAGAGAGTAAGATAGCTATAGTTTCTTCGTAGATCAGCCTGGGATTTCACCCGCAGCCATGGAGCTCCTCCAGAGCTTCCTGTGGCTCTCAGCTCTCCTGCACTCAGCTCAGGCTGCCCCTTCGTATGTTGCTTCCGTGTCGTTTTACTCCAGAAATGTTGAATAGGGAATATTAATTTATATTTGTGTGAGCTTGAGAGTGAGTGAGTTTGTGCGCCTGTGTGTGTGTGCGTGTGAGAGAGTCAGTGTGTTTGCCTGTTTATATCCGCGCATGTGTGTATGTGACAGGGTGTGAGCGTTTGATTGCGACTATCTATCTATATATGTGATAGAACGTGTGTGTCTCTGTGTGAGCGTGTGTATTTGTGTGTGTGTCAGCATGATTTAGTATGTCAGTATGTGTGAATATGCATATGAGTGCAAATAAGTGTGTGTGTGTGTGAATAAGTGTGCGTATAATTGTGTGTGAGCAAGAGTGTCAGTGAGGGTGTGAGTGACTACAGATGCACATGAAGGTGTGTGGGCATATTTGAGATGTGAGAGTGAGTATGTGTGTGTGTGCAAGTTGTGTGAGTGACTGTGAGATGTGAGTGTGAGTGTGTGTGTGCAAGCCTGTGTGAGTGACTGTGAGATGTGAGTATGAGTGTGTGTGTGCAAGCTTGTGTGAGTGACTGTGAGATGTGTGTATGAGTGTGTGTGTGCAAGGATGTGAAAGTGAGGGTGAGATGTAAGAGTGAGTATGTGTGTGTCTGCAAGCGTGTGTGCGTGGGTGTGAGCATTAATGAGCATGTGCGTGAGTGTATACGTGTGAGTGACATGTGTATGAGATGAGCATGTGTGTGCAACGGTGTGTGATGAGTCAGGTTGTGTGTATATGGGCGTATATGTGTGTATGAGAGTGAGTGTGTCAGTGAGTGCACAGGAAATTTTATTTCAAGTGATGTTCCCCAGGACCGCGCTGACTAACCTACATTGTGCGTTCTAGTTACCTGATCAGTGCCCCTAACATCCTTCACATTGGGGTCGAAGAGACCGTCGCTGTACAGGTCGATGGAGTGAACAGACCTGTCTCCGTGGTCGTCTATTGCATGCACGAAGTCAGTCGCCAGAAGTGCTCGGAAGACGTTAGCTTCCAGTTAAACGCTGAGAATGATTACCAACAGTTTAAACCCATTACAGTGAGTCCCCAGTACTAATTCTTCTATTTGATACCACATTGGGAGGGGTATTCCTTGCACATCGTGGAGTCCTGCAGCTTACGGGTTAGAGCCCTCGCCTCGCAAAAGAGAGGACCTGGATTCGATTCTCGAGCAGGTCAAAACGTTAGGCAAGTTTTCTTATCCCGCATGCCTCTGTTCACCCAGCAGTAAGTAGGAATCCGATTGTTCATTGATTAGCAGATCATTATTGAGGGGTAGTAATCCAAATTAAAATAAATTTTAAAAATGTGGTTACTCAATCCACGATTATTTGCGGGACACTGCTGTGCGCAATTCACTGCTGCGTTTCGCCCACAAACTGTACAGTCAGTATATTTCAGTATATTCTGTGAAGCGCTTTTAGATGTCTCGAAGACATGATAAGGTACTGTATCGAGGCAAGAATTATTATTATTATTATCAGTGTTGTGTGGAGGGTGCTATAGAAATGCTCCCTCAAAAGCTTTCACGGGATGTGCTGTAAAGTGTAGTGACTCTGTGTTTTGTAGGTGAACATGAAGCTGATTTCCACGCAGAAAACATGGCACAAACAGCCATGAAGTGAATGAGTGATATTATATGAGATGATTGTTAGCGTGGATACTCCCCACTCCTCCCACCACCGCGCGCACACCCCCCACCCCCGACAATGTATTTGGAGAGTGGCGTTTAATTCCTTACCTGAAGGATGGCGGCTCCAACAAAGTGGCACTCCTTCCATCACTGTGTTGTGTCACTCTGGACTATGAGCTCAAAATACCTGACATTTTGCCTTAACCCATCACCTTCTGACTTGGAAGCGAGGATGGCCACGGCTGTGGCAGGCAGACTGACAGCTACGTTGGGTGGCAGCAACACATTCCAGGACTTTGGATAGTTAAGCACTGATCTGGCTGTATCTGAAGTGATGTAAATGTCGCTAACGCTCTTGCTTTAATGCTGCCAGGTGTCAGCTGATCTCGTTGAGAGAAAGGATTTGTGGAAACGGAAGGTGCCCTATATTTCTCTCGTGGCCGAAAGTAAGGAATTGTTCCAGTCAAGAAGGATGGTTCGTGTCTTGTTGTCTTCAAAACAAGGCTACATCTTTATACAGACTGACAAATCAATATACACGCCCAATGAGATTGGTAAGCAAAGATGTCCTGCAAAAAAAAAAAACTCTGCCTCTGATTGATGTCAAAACAATGTAAGGCAACGATGAGCAAGGCAACTGGATCCTGGCTGGTCAGTGACAAATGAAAATTAATACAGACAGACACCAGGAAGTGTTCCTTTACTCAGAAGTTAATTAACAACTGGAACATGTTGCAGGAAAGGGGTGGTTGAAGCCAGCAAACTGAATTTAAAAAATTGTCGATGATGTAATGAAAGGACAGTAAACTGGGTAGTCTGGAAAGGATGACATCATATTGGGCCAAAAGGCCAAACTAATTGAGTGATCTTGTAATCTATTTCCCAACTAATTTCCTATTCTTGACAAAATATACAACAGTATTATTATTGGGGAGTTCTATAACGTGTTGGTTAGAGCAATCGGCTGGTTGTTGGTTGATTGGCAGATCGCTTTTCTGGGGTTAATAACCCCTTAAAAGAAAATTGAGTCACTCAATCCATTACTGTTTGTGGGACACTGTTGTTCACAATTGGCTATTTTGTTTCGTCCGTATACAGTCAATTCACTTTGCAGTATATTCTGTGAAGTACTTTGAGACATCTCGAAGACGTGATAAGGCAGATTACCAAATGCAAGGATTATTAGTTACATCCAGACTTGATTACATCAACGCTCTGTTTGCCGGATTCCCCAGCTCTACACAAGCTGTAGACTATCCCGGACTCTGCTGTCGTGTCCCTCCGCACACCAGGTCCTTGCCACATTCTCCCTTGGCTCCATTCAGTTCCCCCAGCAACTCGAGCTCAATTCTCGTCTTCACTTTCAAATCTCTCCATGGACTCACCCAACCCTACCTCTCTCTGTCGCCTCCTACCACTCTGTGCTGCTCCCTTCTCTACTCAACCGGTTCAACCACAACCTGCTGTTGGGAGAGCTTCAGTCATTCTGCTTCTGAAACTCCATAATGTGGTCCCTCTGCCTCGTCCACTCCTTCTTGGAGTCTCTCAACCTTGCCCTCTCCCTCAAAGAGCCCTCAATCTCACCCACTCCCCAACTTTGCAGCCCATCTTAAAACCTATCTGTCCAACTGCACTTTTGGTCACCAATCTCACCCCACCTTAGCTCCCACCACTGCTCACTGAAATGCACTGAGGTGTCCTCCAGATGAAAGATGCTGTATAAATTTAAATTGTTTGGTTCTTTATTACGTTCTTCAATTCCACGTGTCTAAATGTTAGCTAATATTCTTTTAGGTCATGGCAGTTTCATCTTACACTCTCCCTGAGTCAGGAGGTTGTGGATTCAAGCCCTAAATCAGGGACTTTGAGCTCAAGGTCCAGGCTGATATACCTGTGTAGAGCTTTGCAATGTCAGAGGTGCCATCCTTCCAATGAAACATCCAAAGCGGAGGACTGTGCCCCATTTATATGGATATTAAGGATCTTGTAGTGCTAGTTGAAAAGAGTAGGGAGTTTTTTCTGATGTCCTGACCAACACATTCCCTAGGGGTACAGTTGATAGAGAGAAGCTAAGACGGAGGAGTTGAGACTGATAAGGTGAAACAGTGGAGTAGAGAGGGTGAGATAGAGAGGTGGAGACTGATGGGGGTGAGGGCTGAGGGGGGCAGACAGAGGGATAGAGGCGGTAAATTTCAGAGATTAGGGTGCAGTGACACAAGGCTTGGTCACTGATGGAGCAAGTGAAAGATGAGGGCATGGAACACTCATCACACTGGTGCCAGCTGAGCAAAGAGAGTGTCTGAGTCAAGGTCAGGAGGAGATTGCAGCAATAGAGAGAGCGATGCCAGGGCTGGAAGGGTTTGGTGAGTGTGAGGAGAGTGAAGTTGATCCATTGACAGCCAACGAAACCTGGTGATGACTAAGATAAAGAGCCGAAACAATTTCCTGTGAAGGAAGATCTTTTAGATTTTTTTAACGTGGATTGAGGATTTTTTTAGTTAATCTTTTAGTTGATGAAGACTTGGATTGTCAATTTATTTCAAATACTTCTTCTAATTGTTACTTTTACAGTCAAATACAGAATTTTTACTCTCGACCACTATATGAAACCAGTCAGCAAAACCATTCAAATATCCATATATGTGAGTATTCTCGTGGTTAATTTCATGTGCTATCTGTGTTTGGGATGAAGAGTGAGGTGGGCAATAAATAAAGCAAATAGAAAGCAGGCTTATCAATGGCAAATGAAGTTTAATACATATACATACAACATACTCCCTTTTGGAAGTATGATTAGGAAACACACGACTATATAAATGGATAAAATGTGCAAAAGGGAAGAGCAGGGAATTGGTTTGGAGTATGGAGCTCCAGTGGGGGAGTGAGCACCAGCACAGACACAATGGAGGAAGAAATCTGATTGGGATTGGAGTGCATATCTCCTGTTGGAGAGTCGGCACCAGCACACGAATAGAGGCAGAAAGAGCAGGAGAATTGCATCAGAGCATTCAAAATGTTCCATATGTTTAATATTTTCCACAGAATTCCGGGAACATGCGGATATACAGCGGAGATTTTATGTCGAATAAAATATCTGCCAAACAATTAAAGTTGCCTGACATTGCACTGTAAGTCTCTGTACTGGGGTAAACAGTGATTCCAAGCAAGCACCCCGGTGCTCACCGGGCTCCACTAACTCCCTATCACCGAGCAGATCGATTTCAAGGTCTTCACCTTCACCTACAAACCCATCCCTGGCATGCTCCTAATCTGGCTTCCCCCTTCCCCCCATCCACCCACACACATAGTCCTTTGCTTCCATCCCTCTCTCTGATCAGATAATTCAGGCCTGTTGTGTGTCTTCCGATGTTAGGGATATTGATCTCACAGTCGAGGATAATAATAATAATAATAATCCTTGCATTTGATATAGCGCTTTTCACGTCGGGAGGACGTCCCAAAGCGCTTCACAGAACATACTGTAAAGTGAATTGACTGTATATTTGTGGGCGAACGCGGCAGCCAATTGCGCACAGCAATGTCCCACAAACAGTCGTAGATTGAAAATGACCCAATTTTTTTTTTATTATTGTTTTTTGGTTTTTTTGGAGGGATTATTATTATCTTGTTGATACTCGTCAACAAGGTGATGTCTCACCACTGTAATCATAGACAGACTGCAGACATGGTTGGGAAGAGAGACTGCAGACATGGATCACCTCAAGAGCAGTGCTGGGAAGGCTCAGCATTGTTGGAGGTGTCAACTTTTGGATTAGACATTAAACCAAAGTCCAGCATGTGCCTGTTCAGTAAATTAAAGATCCCAATGGGCTATTTAAAAAGAGAAGGGAATTTCTCTCTCCTAGTGTCCGAAATACTGATTGTCCAACACCTTTGAACATCCTCCCAATGTGAAAGACGTTATGCAAATATAATTTTGTTGTTGACGTGGGAAACAATCTTCCAGATAAAATTGGTTATTCATTTCATGGATGTTTGTGGGTCTTTGCTGTGTGCAAATTGGCTGCTGCATTCACCACAACTTTAGGGTCACTACACTTTAGGGTGAATCCTTGGAGTATTTTGAGATAACTCGATAACGTGAATAAGTGATTATTATAACTCAAACATGGACTGGTCCAGAGATCAAATTATTATTATCAATATAAAATTATTTCACTCAATGCTGTTGTTTCATATCTAAAGGCCTGGGAACTGGAGAATAGAGGTGCAGTTTGCAAGCTTCCCGATGTCTCTACGTTCCGCACAGTTTGAAGTCAAGGAATTTGGTGGGTATGACACATTGCCACAATTTATCACAATGCGGAGATATAGAAAGTATTACTTTAATTTCACTTTATGTATCACAACCCAGACTTGATTATACCAATGCCCTGCCAGACACTCTAGCTCCTCCCGACACAGGTTTCACACCATCCAGATCTGTGCAGTCCATGTGGTTTCCTACACCAGGCTCCGCAGGCCCATAACACCCATCTTTGCTTAGCTTTCCGAGCTCCCCATTCCCCTAGCAGATCAAATTCAAGATCCTGGTTCTCACGTTCAAATCAGTTTATGGTTTTGTCCCACATTACCTCTGCCGCCTCATTCAACTCTATGAATTCAGCTGCTCCCTTTGCTGAATGAAAACCGATCTGCTATATGTCCCCTGTTCTAGCATCGACAGGCAGACTTTCAGCTGTTTTGGAAATGTCATAGAATCATAGATATTGGCAGCAAACGAGGAGGACCATTTTGTAAATAGAGTCCGCACAGAATCCCAGAAAAGGGAGATTATTCAATCCTTCAGCCCTACCATATCTCCAGACCCCTTCAAGCCTTCATATTCTTGTCTACTTCCCTCTTGAAGCCCATTATTTGAGATTTAGCTGGGTACTTTGCTGCTTCAGGCCAACCAAAATTATTGTTATATCTGAGGCTCCACACGAGACTCTACAGCTATTCATAAAATCATAGCATCATAGGATTATACAGCACAGAAGGAAGCCATTTGACCCATCGTGTCTGTGCCAGCTCTTTGAAAACAGCTATCCAAATGAATTCCCACACCCCCGTTCTCTCCCCACAGCCCTGCAGATATGTCCTGCCCAAATAATTATCCACCTCTCTCTTAAAATTTGCTATTGAATCGGATTCCACCAGCCTTTCAGGCAATGCATTCCAGATCCGAACGACTCACTGTGTGAAAAAATTTCTCCTCACCTCCCCTCTGTTTCTTTTAACAACTATTTTAAGTTGGTGTCCTCGGGTTACTAACCCACCCGCCAGTGGAAATAGTTTCTCCTTGTTCACCCTATAGAAACCCTTCATAATTGTGAAAACTTCTATTAAGTCTCCTCTTAACCTTCTCTGCTCCAGAGAATAATCCTAACTTCTCCAGCCTTTCCTGATAACTGAAGCCCCTCATTACTGGTAAATCTCCTTTGCACCCTCTCCAATGCCCTGATATCCTTCCTGAAGTGCGGTACCCAGAACTGCTCACTATTAGCCATGTTTGATCTTTTCAAAGTTCTTCCCAGTTTTGGAATCAAGGTGGAGGCTGAGCGTATGTTCTACCTGATAACAGCGGCAGAATTCAGTTTCACAATCATAGCAAAGTAAGTACACAAATTATCTTAAATGTGATGTCAACAAGAATGGAATTCAAGAGCAGTGGATGAATCCACGCCAATCTCAAACCTACAAAGTTTCTGGGGTGAAGGTCTGTAATATAGCAGACGAGGGAGGGAGTGAAGGACAAAATGGAAGACGCGCGGAAAGAAAGATGGAAGGAGGCAGAGAGGGAGGGAGTGCTGGATGGGGGAAGAGGGGGAGGAATTGAGGGAGGACTGGAGGGATGGATTACAAAGATGGAATAAAGGAACGAGGGAGGGAGCGATTGACGGAAAGACAGATAGAGGAAGGGGCAGGGGAGGGTTTTTTGTTTGTTTGATGGGAGAACTATTGGGACATTGATTAAAGCATGTCTTGACCCTGTTGGCAAATTAAATAAAAAAATCTGAATTTCACTCTTATGCGATCTATGTAGTGATTTTTACAATGTTTATTTCAATGAATGTTTCTTAGACACACATATGGTGAGCCTGTGGAAGGAATGGCATTTGTGAGATTTGGGATCATTGATGAGAAAAGCAACAACACATTCCTACGAGGCTTGGAACAGCAGCTCTCAGTGAGTATGGTGACAGGGCAGGGGAATTGTTAATTAATTAACTTGTTATCCATAGGTACAGAGAGCACATCAGCAAGAAGGTTACGTTCAATTATATTTTTGGTCTGACCATATGTGGAAATCCATCACTGTGTTAAGTCTCCAAAGTAGACTGGGAGTTCCACATATGTATGTCACATCGCTTTCACACGGAATGTAATATTTCTCCCTCTTCTTCATCATCTCCTGAATGAGGCCCATTAAGTGCTCATTAAACTCATAAGAACACAAGAAATGCTAGACAAAAAAGGACCAAGGTCCATCCACCTTCCTGGTGGTCGAATGCATATATGTACCGAACTACCTATGTACTATATCCATCATGTTATTTCCTGAAAGGAAACTATCTAATATGTGTTTGAAGGAATCAACATTTCCTGCTTCAACCGTCTCCCTAGGAAGCCTGTTGCACCTCATCCCTATCCTCTCCTGATCTCCCAGTTCATCTCCTTGCCTCTTTCACTGCTAACAGGGTCTGTTAATCCAGCAGCACAAGTGTCATACCCTTCAAAATAGCTGTCATCATCCTCGTCCTTAAAAAGAATGCCCGTACCTAACTAGCATCCGATCTCCAACTCTCCTTTTGGCTTCAGTATATTGGGATAAGTAATTGCTTCCTAATTTTGCTATTTCTTCTCCATGTAATTCCTCCATGAACCCTTCCCATCCAGCTTCCTTGCTACCCACAATATCGAGATTGCCCTGGTCAAGGTCTCAAATTACCTTCTCTCTATCTGTGACCATGGCTCTCTCTGCCTTCTCTCAACATCAACAACTTGCATTTTATAGCTCCACTCACGCAGAGTAGCTTCCTAGAGCGTTCGGTCCTCTCCTCTTTAACATTTAAATGCTCCCTCTTGATGATATAATCCACAGACATTGGCTTAACTTACATATGTTTGCAGATGACACCTAACTCTGTCTCCCTGCCTACACCCTTGATTCAAGTGCTGATCTAACCTATTGCCCTGTGGACATCAAGTTCTGGGTAAAAAGTTTCTCTAGTTGAATGTTGAAGGTGTATCTCAAGATCTTCCTCTTTGACTTAGTCTTTGGTCATCTTCCCATCTCCACCTGCTTCGCTTGGACCCCTCCTGAATCCCAGCCTCAGCTTGGTGCAAATCTTCTACTGCCCATTACATTGGGACGATGATATATAAATGTAATTTGTTGTTGTTGTTATTGGAAATTACCCATGTATGGGATGGAATACGCACTCTCTTCTCAGAAAAATGCCCCCCCCCCCTTACCTAATTCCAAAGATTGTTAGGCGCAGGTTACAAGAGCTAAAGTATGTGGACCTCAGAATATGGTAATTGCTAGAGTTTACCATCTAAAACTGTTTCGCTTGCCATTGAAAGCGGTTGCTGTTAACTTTCAAGCTGTTTGTCCAGCTAGAACCACCATTGGGGTTTTGGCTTGAATGGTTAATGGGAGCTGAGTGGGAAGAATTCCTATCCCAGTGACTTGTCTTCCCCTCCAAGACCTGCTGATGAGCTAGGCTGTTGGCTATCATGGACAGTGCCCTCAGGAATCCATAAGGGCATGGTCTTCCAACAGTCACAAGAGGATGGGGGAGACAAATTTAAAGCAACCACAAAGGAGTAATTAAAAGGGAAATTGAAAGAAGTTCATGAGCTGTGGAGGAAGAGAGGAGAGAGCCTTTAGACGTCTTGCACACACCATAATAAAACACTTAAAATGTGAATTTCAGATGAGGAATGGAAGAGTGGAATCATCAATTTTGACTGAGAAGATAGCAAAGACTTTGAAAGATGGACAGTCAATGGAGCAGTTGCTTGGGCATTACCTGTATATGGCAATTACTGTTTATGAAACAAGCAGTGAGTGAAACCTTTCAATTGATATTGTTTTGTCAGCTAGATGCCGGACACACACTGAAACCCATCACCATGGTCAAGCTAGTCTCCAACTATATGCAGAAACCCACCAACGTGATCAGACATGTGTCTGACACACAGGCTCAATCTGGTTTGGAAACTCGTAAGCATGTTCTTTGCAAGTGTCAGACAACAAACTTATCAAGGTTTGTGCGTGTGACAGGTTTTCATGGGATGGGTTTCCACATGTGTCACCGGCTGACCAAAAACTATAGAAACAAATAAAAACTTAGAATCATAGAATTATGCAGCACAGAAGGAGGCCATTCGGCCCATCATGTCTGTTGCTGACTCTTTAAAAAGAACTATCCGAATCAATCTCACTCCCTCGCTCTCTCCCCATAGCCCTGCAAACTTGTCCTCCCCAAATAATTGTCTACTTCTCTCTTAAAAGTTGTTATCGAATCGGCTTCCACCAGCCTTTCAGGCAATGCATTCCAGATCCAAACAATACGCTGTGCGGAAAAAAAAACTTGAAATGCTGTTTGTAACTGACCAATCTCCCACACAGGTGGTGAGATGGAAGAAACAGAGATCCGCCAAGTCAAATTTGTCTCCTCTCCATATGTGATTGATTTGTCCAAAACCAGACGTTTTTTCACACCAAGCACACCACACTCTGTGCAGGTAGGTCATTCTGTGCTGAACTGGGGATTCGGGTTCGCAAAGCTGTAAATAATATAAATATAAATAGAGACTTTGGCTTAATATCCAATGGAAGAGAGTATGCAACAATAAACAACATTCTGCGTCATTTATATAAGAGAGAGGGAGAAGAGGGGAAGGGGAGAATGTGCTAACTGAGCTGACGGGCTGGTGGAGGAGTGTCTTAGAAGGAGATTGGAGAGCTCAGGGGATGTCTGGGAATGGATAGATTTGTAGTTGAAGGTGCGAAGCTTGAAATTGAGTCAGGGAGATTGGCATTTGAAGTTTAGTGTATGCGAGGAAATAGGCAGCAGATATAGGGAAGTCATCTTAAATTTATATAAAATCTCCATTTATAAAATCGATCACGCACTCGCTTTTGAGTTAGAAGGGTATGGGTTCAAGTTCCGCGTCAAGACTTTGACTCACTGGCCATTTTGGGGAAGGGCCAGTCTGCATTTTTGTAGTTGGAGTCCTTTGGATGAGATGTTAAGCTGAGCTGGCTTCTGTTTTGGCCGATGTTCCAAATTCTATTGGAAAAGAGAAGGAAGTTTCTCCTGATTTCCTGACCAACAATTCCCAAAATAAAATGGCTCGCTCACTTACATCTGTTGCGGGTTAATGCCGTGGTCAAATTGGCTGCCATATTCACATATAAAATATACAATCACCACACTTTACACCTTACTGTGAAGCATTTGGAGACATCCTCCTGATATGTTTGCATTGTATCATATACAAGGAGTATTATTATTAATGTTGTGTTATTAGAAACTGGAAACTATACAACCAACTTTCACCATGTCTAACATCTGGGTTTTTAATGAGTGAGTGTTTATTAGGTGCAGGTATCCTATCCCAATGGATCCCCTGCCTCGCGTGTCCCAGTACAGCTTGATACGGGAAATCGGCTCTACACTGATGTGAACGGTCGTATTTCATTCGCAAAAGAACCTGGTGAAGCGGCCGATGTGATGGCGATCAAGGTAAAAGTGGTAACGGTGTTGTGGAGCTATTTCATGAAATCTTCTCGGATTCTTGACTTATTGTGGTCAGTTCAGACTGTGCCTATATAGCTTAGTTGTTGGCACTCATACCTCTAGCGTAAGAAGTTTGTGGGACCAGGCCTCAGGTCAGGGACTTTGATCTCATTGCTTAGGCCTACGCTCAATTTCAAACCCGTCAATCCATTCCTTACATCACTATTTATAGATTCATAGATTCATAGAATGTTACGGCATAGAAGGAGGCCATTCGCCCATCGAGTCTGTGCGGCTCTTTGACAGAGCAACTGACTTTTATTAACCCCACTCACCAGCTTTCTCTCCATAACTCTGCAAACCTGTCTTCCCCAGATACCTATCCAGTTCTCTGTTAAAAGCTGTTATCGAATCGGATTTTATTGCCCTTTCGGGCAGATCATTCCAAATTCTAACAACTCGCTGAGTGAAAACATTTCTTCTAACCTCCCCTCTGCTTCTTTTGGTAGATATCTTAAGACTGTGACCACGGGTCACAGACACACCTACCAGCGGAAACAGCTTTTCCTTATCTAGTCTGTCGAAACCATTCATGATCTTGAAGACCTCTATCATGTCCCCGCGTAACCTTCTCTGCTCTAATGGGAAAAGTCCTAACTTCTCCAGCCTGTCCACATAGCTAAGGTTCCCCATTCCTGGTATCATTCTCGTGAATCTCCTCTGCACCCTTTCCAGTGCCTTAATGTCCTCCCTGAAGTAAGGTGCCCAGAACTGGACGCAATACTCCAGCTGAGGCCTAACCAGCGTTTTGTATAGATTAACCATAACCTCCCTACTCCTATACTCTATGCCCCTACTAATGAAGCTCAGAACACCAAATGCCTTTTTTACTGCCTTATCTACCTGCTCTGCAACCTTTAATGATTCGCTTACTACAACGCCCAGATCTCTCTGTACGTTCACCCCCCTTAAGATTGAGCTCCAAGTCTATATTGCCTCCTATCATTTTTCCTACCTAAGTGTATCACCTCACACTTATCCACATTGAAATCCATCTGCCACATGTCAGCCCATTCCACCATTCTGTGTATGTCTGCTTGCAGTTGGTTACAGTCCTCCTCACTATTTACTACCCGACCTAACTTTGTATCATCTGCAAACTTGGAAATAGTGCTCCCTGTGCCCAAGTCCAGATCATTAATATATATTAGAAAGAGCAGTGGTCCCAATACCGATCCCTGAGGGACACCGCTGCACACCTCCGTCCTTTTCGAGAAACACCCATTAACCACCACGCTCTGCTTTCTGTCACTCAGACAGTTCCTAATCCAAATGGCTACTGTCCCCTTAATACTGTGGGCCTCTAATTTTTGTATTAATCTCTTATGCGGTACTTTGTCAAAAGCCTTTTTGAAATCCATGTAAGTAATCCGCTTAATCCGTTTACTTCCCAAATCTCTATCAATCTGCCTCTGTTGGCTCAATTCATCTCCTTAAATTCCCAGATATCTCTCCATCTCCATCTGACACCTCAATTAATTCCTTACTTCCTAAGTCTCTATCAGTCTCCTCCTGACACTTCAATTCATCGACTTACTTCTCAAGTACCTCTTCATTTCTTTATATCTCCAGTGAAGTGTCCTGTATCTTAGTGGATAGAGCGCTCGCCTCACAAGCAAGAGGACCTGGGTTTGATTCCCGGGCAGGGGAAATGTTAAACAAGTTTCCTTGCTCTATACGCCTCTGTTGCCTAGCAATGAGTGGGAACCCAGTTGTTAATAATCCCGACAACATTTCTTTTGAAACAAAATAATCCAAAAATTAATAATTTCATCACTCACCCATGAATGTTTGTGGGGCACTATTGTGTGCAATTGGCTGCCGCGTTTCTCCCACGAAAGCTCTCTGTGGCTTTACCCTGCGTTGAGGGCAATATAGACTTGGTAGCTCAATCTTAAGGGGGCTTTACCCTGCGTGGAGGGTAGTGGCTTAAAATATACAGTCAATTATCTTTACAGTGTTCTGTGAAGAGCTTTGAGATGTCTCAAATATGTGATAAAGCACAATATCAAATGTTATTATTATTGTTAGTATTATCGCCCTCTGATTCCTCAATTCATCCTTTACTTCTCAAGTACCTCTCCATCTCCCTCTTATACCTTCAATTATTCTGCCTCTGTGACCTCCTGAGACAGTGTGTCTCACATTCACATCAACCCTTGTGTGAAGAGTGTTTCAATAATAAAGACTTGATTAAAGGAAATACTCCACGTAATTCCAAATCTGTTTCTATACCAGGTCACAGCTGGCGATGGCTCCCCAGGGAAGGAAGTCAGTGAAGCAACAATGACAGCATCTATCTTCCAGTCTCAGGCCAAGAGCTACCTATACATTGACGTACCAAGCCGTGAAGTTGATCTAGGGAGCAGTCTACTTGTAGATTTGAAAGACATCTCATTCCGAAAACTTGGGAAAATTGACTACTATTACTACATGGTTTGTGTATTAAATATCTATGTTCTCTACTCTAGGTCTCATCCTAGCTCAGTCAGTCTTATCAAAGCCTTTTCTCTGTATCAGATGATTGTGGGTTCAAGCCCCACCTCTAGAACTTTCATTTCAGATCTAGACTATTGCTTTGGTGCAGTTTGGGAGTAGCACTGCAATGTCGTTGGTGCTATCCTACAGATGAGACATTAAAAGGAGATTCAGCCTGTGCCTGTTTAGGCAAATATGAAAGATCTGCATAGCATTAAGGGGAAAAGAGAAGGGAATTTCTCCCAGAGTCCTCGCCAATAATTCATATGTACAATTGGTTGTTCATTTTATTATAAACCCGTTGCTGTAGATCAGCAAAGCTTGGGTCTGAACGCCAGATTGACATTGTCCCCTAGTCTCAGATGGCCTGAATAAAACTCGACCCAGTACTCCAGGTTTTGGTCTAAAAGGAGATAATCCTTTTAGTGTCGCCTTACCACAGCTGGACACAGCACTCGAAATGTAGTGACTGCAGCTGGACACAGTACTTCAGGTGTGGCCTGACCACAGCTATACACAGTACAACAGGTGTAGTGATCACAGATGCCAGATGAAGTGGATTTTGTTCTGTGTACTGTAAGGTGATCTCTGGCGTGTTGTCCCACAGGTGATCAGCAAAGGAAAGACCGTACGTTTGGGTAAAATCAAGAGACAAGAATTAACAAAGCTGCAGATACGGATAACAGCTGCCATGATGCCTGCCTTGCGACTTGTTGTTTACTATTACGTAACCGATCGGGGTCAGAGGCAGATGGTGGCTAACTCAGTGTGGGTCGATGTGAAGGATCAGTGTGATGGCGAGGTATTGTCTGATATTATTATGTAGAGTCCTGTAGCTTAGTGGTTAGCACCCTCGCCTCGCAAGCGAGAGGACCTGGGTTCGATTCCCAGGCAGGGCAAAATGTTTGGCAACTTTCCTTGCTTCACACGAATACTGCTATTGTTTATATAGCAGTAAGAAAGAACCCATTGCCCACCTCCATCTGTATCTCACAACCAACGCAACTCAGTCCACCTAGTCTACACCTTCGTCACTTCCCAGCTGGACTATTCCAGTGTCCTCCTCGTTGGTCTCCCCAGTTCCACCATACACAAAATCCAACTAATTCAAAACTCCACCACCCAGATACTCACCTGCACAAAACTCCGTATCCCCAACACACCAGTCCTTGACAGGCTCCACTGGCTCCCAAACACTGAACGGATCGACTTCAAGATCCTCTCACTTGTTTTTAAATCAGTTCATTCCCTCACACCTCACGACCTACTATGCCATGAAACTCTGGGACTCTCTCCCTCAATCCCTCCCTCCCCACCTTCAAGTCCCACCTAAAGACCTTTTTTTTTGATTGTGCTTACGGTCACCTCCCCCCTCCTCTTGGCTCTTTGACAGACTTTGCCACTGCAAAGCGCACTGGGACTCTACCCAGTGAAAAAGGCACTATATAAATACGAGTTTTTGTTGTTAGTCGATTGGGAGATTACTTTATCGGGGGTTAGAATGCCTTCAATATAAAAAAATCTATTTTTGGCACTCAAACCACAACTGTTTGGGGGACACTGCTGTGTGCAGCATTTCGTCCACAAGATATATAATAATAATAATAATAATCCTTAATAATAATCCTTGCATTTGATATAGCGCTTTTCACGTCGGGAGGACGTCCCAAAGCGCTTCACAGATCACACTGTAAAGTGAATTGACTGTATATTTGTGGGCAAACGCGGCAGCCAATTGCACACAGCAATGTCCCACAAACAGTTGTAGATTGAAAATGACAAATTTTTATCATTGTTTTTGGTTTTGGAGGGATTATTATTAGGCTCTGTGTGGAGTAAGGAAACTTGCCCAAGGTTTCGCCCTCTGCCTGGAATTGAACTCAGGTCTCTCGCTTGCAAAGCGAGTGCTCTAACCACTGAGCTACAGGACTCCATAATATAGTCATTTTTCAATATATTCTGTTAAGCACTTTGAGATGACTCGCAGATGGGATTAGGCGCTGTATCAAATGTAAGAATTATCACTATTCCAAATAACACAGCTCATTCAGTGCATTCATTCATATGTTTCAGGAATCCAATCTCATGAAGGATATAATACTGTAATAACATAATTGACATTTCTACAGCGCCTTTCATGGTAGGGAGGGCATCTCAATACACTGCACTCGAGCTGGGGTTGGGAACTGAAAAGGATGGGATGGGGAGAGGCTGGATCGAGTGAGGGATGGAGTTCCAGAGCGCGGAGGCAGAATCCTGAAATCTTGCCCACTGATGGTAGGGCATGTCAGGTGGGCGTTCATGAAGAAGGTCGGTGTTTGCTACTGGGTTGGTAGGTTGGCAGGAGATCGCAGAGGTAGGAATGGGGCGAGACGGTGGGAAAGTTTGAAGATGAGGATGATGATCTTTAATTTGATCTGCGGTGTGGGGGAATGGGGAGCCAGTCTAGCCAAGCGAGAATGGGGGCGTTAAGTTTGTGGAGTCTGCTGTGGGAGAGACCACAGTGTGCATAAATGGGCCAAGGGGCCTTCTTTACCTAAACCTATCTTGTGATTTTGTGAGATGGCTGATACCAGCATCATTCATTCCCATGCGGTGTGTCTTGCTTTTATGGTTTGATGTAGTTTTTCATCGAGAACAAACGTCAGCAGTCACCATTATCTAGGTCAACAACGCTGAAAGTCACATTACCAGACTCCGGAAGTGTCTCCATGGTGGTTGTGGACAAAGCAGTTTATATTCTCAACAGTAAGAATAAACTTACAGCCAAAAAGGTACATGACTCTGTTTGGCTCAGGCCATCAGTCCTACCCTCTAACCTTCCTCCATTCCACCCTTGAGTCTCTCCATCCCTCCCTTATCTCTCTGTCCAAACCGTTCCCAGAAGCATCCAACACTCCATTCCATTCACAGTCTGTCAATTTCTTATTGCTTCCCTCCCTTCTCTTTACCTATAGTTTCCGTCTGTTTCTCTATAACCTTTATAAAACACTGGTTAGGCATCAGCTAGAACACACTTCAGAAAGAATGTCATGGCATTGGAGAGAGTGCAAAGGAGGTTTACCAGGATGGTACCAGAAATGAGGGACTTCGGTTATCAGGAGAGGCTCGAGAAGCTTGGGTTATTTGCCTTGTAGCAGAGAAAGCTTAATAAGAGGACACTTAATCGAAATTTTCAAGATTATGTGGGGTGAACAAGGAGAAACTATTTCCTCTGGTGGCATTCGAGGACACCAATTTAAAATAGTTGTAAAAAGAATCAGAGGGGAGGTAAGGCAAATTTTTTTCACATAGCGACCTGTTCGAATCTGGAACGCATTGCCTGAAAGGATGGTGGCAGCCGATTCGATAAAAACTTTTAAGAGAGAAGTGGATAATTATTTGGGGAGGACACGTTTGCAGGGCGATGGGGAGGGTGTGGGGAAATGGGATTGAACTGGATAGCTCTTTTCAAAGAGCCAGCACAGACACGATGGACCGAATGACTTTCTTCTGTGATGTATAATATAATGATTTTATGACTCCATCGTTCCATTCCTCCACCCATTCATGAGCTTTGCACAAATTGAAATTGCCCGCTGCGTTTTCCACTGGTGTAAATTACCTGTCCTCATTTTGAATCCTTTGCTCAGGTCTTTGAGGAGATGAACTCCTATGATCTTGGTTGCTCGTATGGGAGCGGGGTCGATACTGCCAACGTCTTCAAGGATGCCGGCCTCACATTCATCTCCAATGCTGGTTCTGTGGAATTCAGAGAAGGTGAGAATGGACAGCTACTGCTGTCTGCAGGGTATTGGTTAGAGCATTCATCTCGCAAGTGAGAGGACCTGGGTTCGATTCACAGACACAGCGAAATGATAGCCAAATTTCCTTACTCCATACTCCTCTGTTTACCTCACAGTTGTTAATCGATCGGTGGATCACTTTTCCCAGGTAATAATCCCTTCAAAAATAATAATAATTTGTTCACTTAATCCACAACTGTTTGTGGGACACTGCTGTGCACAATTGGCTGCCAAATTTCACACACAAAATACAGTCAGTTCACTTTACAGTACATTCTTTAAAGCACTTTGAGACGTCTTGAAGACCTGATAAGTCGCTATACGAAAATGCAAGGATTATTAGTATTATATGAAACACAAAGAGATAGAGATGGAGATGTCCTGGTCAATAATCTCCCAGATAAAATCACCCATTCTCTTGTACTGTTTATTCACTACCACTATTCACGTGTTGCTTACAGGACATTGCAATGTCTGACACATTCACCTACACAATACACAGTCAGCAGAGTTTATGGTAAAATCCAGTGAAGTGCTCTCAGAGGTTTTTTGACGTTGTGATAAGGTGCAAAATAATTTCGTGATGAATCCCTCATCCCTCATTTTTAATCCCTCACTTCACTTTACTTCCCTTGATTAATTGCCAGAGCTGCTGATAGAGCGGCTATTCCAATTCACAGTGCATTCTGAAATTGGAGAGCATTTTAGCAAAAGCAAAAATTCTCATTTTTCCAAAGAGTAAATGAACAATCTCTGCACATTTGATAGTTGAATTTGCAGCAGGGGAATACAACTGAGAAAGATTTAAAGGCACTAGGAAATAACTTTGGATTCATAGTTACAAAGAATTACAGAGAGTGATATAGCACAGTCACTGGCCATTTGACTCATTCGTGTATTCCTGTGTTCATAGTCCAAATTACTAGTCCCATTCCCTCTATTCCCTTCTCCCTCACAAATGCATCAAGTTTCCTCTTAAATAGTTTTAGGCTTTCTTTTTTAAACCACAGCTTCCAGCGGTGAGTTTCCTAGTACAAGGGGCACAGATGTAGAGATGTAAAGGGCAATTTGAAGACAGACAACAGAAAGGTTTTCTTTACCTAATTATACTTATTGATTGGAACAGATTACCAGGAAGGGTGGTAGAAGCCAGCAGTGAGATTCACTGGAAAAAACAGTTTGATGCTCTGTTGGGGGAATGTTAGGGTGGATGTTCTGGAGGGATAAGTTAAGATGTGCCAAAGGACCTTCTTTATTGGAACAGATCTTGTGATCTTGTGAACCCATAGGGTACTCGTGTGGAAAGGAACCCAGGAGACAAAAGAGGTCTTTGGAGCTACAGCAACAATACACAAATAAATGTAAGTCCATTTTTTGCACAAGAAGACATTCAGCCCACTTTGCCTTGGCCACAGTTACAATTTAAACTTTTTTTTAAATCACATTTCCATTTATTTCTCACGTGAGGTGTCAGCCTGGCTCAGTCAGTCACACTTGTGTCTCTGAGATAGACGGTTGGGGCTTCCTACCCCACGTCAGAGATATTGAGCTCGCAGGGAAGTGCTGGACATGTCACGGCTTTGCCCTTCAATTGATACAGTAATCCAAGTTTTTTCTCTTTGCTCTGTTCAGGTGATCATAAAGGTTCCTTGCAGGACTGTAGGTGGGGAAAGAGAATGGAGTTTTGCTCCATGTATCCTGGTGGGTAATCCTCCAGATAAAATCATTCGTTCACTTGAGGGCTGGTGGTGGTACATTAGAATCATAGAAGCATAGAATTATACAGCACAGAAGGAGGCCATTCCGCCCATCATGTTGAGCCGGGTTTTTGAAAAGAGCTATCCAATTCAATCCCACTCCCCCACTCTCTCCCCGTAGGCCTGCAAACCTGTCCTCCCCAAATAATTATCTGCATCTCTTTAAAGGTGTTATCGAATTGACTTCTGCCACCCTTTCAAGCAATGCATTCCAGATTCAAACAACTCGCTGTGTAAAAACATTTCTCCTCACCTCCCCTTTGTTTCTTTTAACAACAATTTTAAATTGGTGTCCTCGGGTTACCCACCCGCCAGTGTAAATAGTTTCTCCTTGTTCACCCAATTGAATCCCCTCATAATTTTGAAAACTTCTATTGAATCTCCGCTTAACCTTCTCTGCTCCAAGGAGAATAACCCAAGCTTCTCGAGCCTCTCCTGATAACTGAAGTCCCTCATTCCTGGTATCATCATAGTAAATCTCATTTTCACCCTCTCCAATGCCTTGACATCCTTCCTAAAGTGTGGTGCCCAGAACTGAGCACAGTCTCTAACTGAGGCCTAACCAGTGTTTTATAAAGATTCATCATAACTTCATGACTTTTGTGTGCTATGCTGCTATTTCTAAAGCCATATGTTTTTTTTAACAGCTTTATCTACCTGTCCTGCCACCTTCAAACATTTACTTATGCGAACCCCCAGGTCTCTCTGTTCCTTCACCCCCTTTAAGATTGTACCATCAGCTTATATTGCCTCTCCTCGTTCTTCCTCCAAAAATGCATCGCTTGCCATTTCTCCACATTAAACTTCATCTGCCACGTGTCTGCCCATTTTACCAGTCTGTCTATGTCGGTTTCTGCCACTATCCTCCTCACTATTTACTGCTTTTTCTAACTTAGTATCATCTGGAAACTTGAAAATTGTCCTCCCTATACACAAGTCCAGGTCCTTTATATAGATCGAAAACAGCAGTGGTTCCAATACTGATCCCTGGGGGACAGCACTGCACACTTCCCTCCATCTTCAGATCATAGCTGAGAATTTCCTCTTCGATCGTGCCTACAGTCACTTCCACTTTCTTCTCAGTTCGGCATCAAACGACATGATTGTTAAGCCCTCTGAGATGCTATCCTGCATGAAGGGCACAATGTCAGTGAACAAAACACAAAATACTGCAAGTGCCGGAAATCTGAAACAAAAACTGAGAGAGCTGGGGAAAACCCAGCAGATTCAGGCAGCAATCCATGGAGAAAAGAAAGTGAGTCAACATTCGGGTCCGTGACACTTCGTCGGAACTGGGGCATGTTGGGCGGGGGAGGTTTTTAAGGACAAGTTGAGAGGGGGAGGCAGGACAAGGAAGACAAAAAAAAAGACAAAGGAGAGTATCTGTAGGGACCCGACAGCCCTCTTGGCCTCCATATCGATTTCAGGCACTTCAGACCATAACAGCTCATCGTTCCCCCCTCCCCCTCTTTCTGTTACCAGAAGAGTTATCTTCTGTTATCATTACAATCATCTCCCCAGACACTCTTTGCCTCTCTCTGGTGTGTTGCCTGTTCTGCACTATTAACACCTCTTCTCCCCAGTTTTGTTTCAACCCACCCTCACTTTTGTTTTGTGCCACTATCACAACAACAACAACAAGATTGCATTTATAGAGCGCCTTTCACGTCGGGAGGACGTCCCAAGGCGCTGGACAGGTGGGTCGGGACCCGAGCAGTGGGGGAAATAGTCAGGGTGAAGGGAGGGAAGGGAGGGAGCGAGGAGAGGGTAGAGAGTCGAGAGGGGAGCTGAAGGCACGGCTGAAGAGAAAACTTCTTTAACCCATCAACTAACACATTTCTCTGCTTTGTCGTCTTTTTTTTTTCTTCTTCTTTGCCTTCCTTGTCCTGCCTCCCCCTCTCAACTTGTCCTTAAAAACCTCTCCTTCCCAACACGCCCCAGTTCTGGCGAAAGGGTTGTGGACCCAAAACATTGACTCATTTTCGTTTCTCCCTGACCCAGCTCTCTCTGTTTTTGTTTCACAATGTCAGTGAATGTTGTTGTGTACGTTGATGGGATCGATCAATGGTTGTTCTGTGTATGTTGGACTTTCTAGTGGATGAATTCTCGGATGAGGTGCTGAGGCGGTGTTGTAAGGACGGTTTGCTTCTGATCCCAACCAGGAAGACGTGTGAGCAACGAGCTAAGAGGGTCCGGGAGCACAAATGCAGGGAAGCCTTTCAGTTCTGCTGTGACTATGGCAAAGAGCTGCGCAAGAATCAGACCCGCAGGTTGGACGCCATTGGGAGATGTGAGTAACAAGAGAGAGAGAGAGCGTGAATTGAAGTCTCTCCCAGATGGAGAGAGCACGATAGGGGGTAGAGAGAAGGGTTAGAAAAAGAAAGATAGAGAGAGAGAGAGAGAGAGAGAGAGAGAGAGAGAGAAAGAAAGGGGATGGAGAGAGACAGAAACAGCAAGCAGGAAGAGGAATCTGGACAGAGATAGAGAAAGAGCGTCTCAACGACATACAGAGGACGGGAGACACACAAAGAGAGAGTGAGAGTGAGCGAGGGAAAATAAATAGTGACTAGAAGAGAGAGAGGGAGAGAAAAGAAAATGTGCCAGAGAGAGGAATGGAGAGAGGGGAGAATGGACAAAGAAGAGAGGAATGGAGAGAGTGACACGGAGAGAGGCAGAGTAAAAGAACAGGAATTGATAGAGGGATGAATGGGGAGATAAGGGATGGAAACTTAACCACTCACAGCCTGTCCTCTTCTAGCAATGGATGGTGATGATGATGACTTTTTTGATGAAAGCTCAATCCGAATCCGCAGTAACTTCCCCCACAGTTGGCTGTGGAGAACACTTGACAACCTACAAAAGGGTGAGCAGAGGTAAGGTTATGCAGAGTACTACAGCAACAAATTCTATTGCACCTTTCACGTTGGGAGGCGCTGCACAATCAGGAATTTAGATCCAAGTAGGGGATTCTGATCAGGAAAGATGGAGGTCAATGATGGAAAGGTGACCGAAGACGCGGTTGAAGAGGTGGGTCTTGAGAAGTGCCTTGAAGGAAGCAAGGCACAGGGACTTAGATGGAGGTGCAAAGGTTGAGGGCAAAGAGATTGATGGCCAGATCGCCGATGGTGGGGCGGGCAGGTGACGTGTAGCAGGCCAAAGTCTGCTGAGCGGCGGGAGACATTTCATCTGAAGGGCAACAATCTTGAAAATCAGCACTGTTCTGGAATATCAGCCTGGATTTGTAGCTCAAAGGCCTCAAAGTGGGATCTGAACCCAATGATCTTCTGACACAAATGTGCTCAACATGAAAGGTGCCAGGTGGTGGGGTTGTAAACCACATAACTGATATATCGGGAAACCCATCACCATACTTAAGACTACTGGGTGGATAATTGCTGGGATTCATCCAGCGAAAATCCACACAGTTTGCCAATGAGAGCACTGTCTGGTGCTGTATCCACTCTCGGCCGACTCCACTGGCTCCCTATCCTTCAGAGGATCCAGTTCAAAATCCTGGTCCTCACATACAAAGCCCTCCACGGCCTCGCCTCACCCTACCTCTGCGACCTCCTAAACCCCTACCAACCCGTCCGCTCCCTCCACTCAGCCGGCTCTGGCCTGCTCCAGGTCCCCCGACCCACCCGCCCCACCATTGGCGGGAGAACCTTCGGTCACTCTGCCTTCAACCTCGGAATTCCATCCCCCAGTCACTCCACCTCGCCCCCTCCTTAGCCTCCTTCAAGTCCCGCCTCAAGACCCTCCTTTTCGACCATTCCATCGTCCACCCCCCCTTCCCCTCCGCTCCCTTCCCCCCCCCCGACCCCAGCTCGGGTCTGAAATGCTTGTACACTGTCCAGTCCCTTGGGACGTCCTCCTGATATGAAAGGTGCTATACAAATGATATCTTGTTGTTGTTGTTGTTGTATCAAATGTGAGCATCGATTTAACATGATTTAACATTATTATTAAACTTCATCTTTTTCCAGTATCAATTTCCCTGTTCCTGATTCCATTACAACATGGGAGATCCAAGCCATCGGAATGTTTAACAGTAAAGGTGAGGGACAAAGTTGCTGATCATATTATTAGATATTTCTGAACAGATTCTTTACAGAAACACGTGTCCGTACAACTAATGAAGATAGATTGGAAAGTTGCATCCTGATTGGTAAGTGTCTGCTGCTCAAGCTCCACAGCTCTGAATAATGGTACCATCGCTCAATGGGTAGGAATGTCTGTCCGTGCTGCGGCCAGGAAGATGGTGGCAATATTCTCACACTGTGCGGCTCAGCAGGAAGTTTGCAGGAAGTAATTGCTAGAAAACTCTCCAGAATTAGGTGAGCAGGGCGTATCCGTCCAGGGAGAGTCTGCTTTGCATTCCAATACATGGGAATGCTCATGTGTAGGTGAAACGCATACACTTTCAATTAGGTTTGAAGATTCTTAAGCTCAGTCATAGGTTTCCACAGGTGTCAAACACCAAGTAGACTAAAACAAAATATTGCACAGAATATCAGTTTACACTGCCACCCAGAGGACAGTCAGCTTGATGAATACTAACTCATCACAGTGAGAATTAACATGAAGACTGCTTTCTTCCACCTCTACCACATTGCCCACCCTGGCTATACCTCACACCAAATCCTGCTGAAATCCTCATCCACACTTTCTCACTTCCCTTCTCCATTTCTCAAATACCCTTCTTGCCCCAGTTGTCCGAACTGCAAGATCTAACTAATCCAAAACATTATCGCCCATGTCCTTACCTGCACCAAATTCTGCCAGCCCCTTCACCCCAATTCCCAGTTACCACCCCAAGAGAAGGGAGTCTTCTCCTGATGTTCTCACACAAAAAAGATTATTCATGGCTTTTGTGGCTGTGTGCCAAGTGGCTGCCACGTTTCTCCAGAAATACTGTCACTGCAATTTACAATATATCCGGTGACGCACTTTGAGACACCAAAGGTGCTGTGTCAATGCTAAAGTTAACTGTTATAATATAAGTTGACCCCGTTCAGATCCAGGTAACCAGGCTCCACTGGCTTCCTGTCTTTGAACAGGTCGACTTCAACCTCTTCCCCCTTACATACCAATCCCTTCACAAATACCCCAATCCTCTGCTCAATCACCCCACTCAACTAACACAGGCCTACCGTGGATCTCCTGCCCCACCCACTGCACCTCCCCCACCAATCCCCACACCATCACTGGTGACTGAGACTTCAGCTACTGTGTCCCTAATCTCTGAAACTCAGAGCCTCTTCCCCCAAGCTTGCCTCCTCTCTGTCTAGCTTTAATCTAGATGAAGGGTAGATTTACAAGAATGATGCCATGGATGAGGAACATCTCCTTAACCTTCTCTGATCAATGGAGATCCCGTACACAACCTTGGTGTCAGATTCGACCCCCAATTATCCTTCCTCCCCCACATTCGGTCCTCCACCAGCACCTCTTTCTTCCACCTCTGACGCATCACCATCTCCGCCAATATCTCACTCCAAAAGCCGCTGGTCCATGCTTTTGTCACCTCTCGGCTGGTCAATTCATCGCCCTCCACGCCGGTCTCCCCTCCACTACCATCCATAAAATTCAGGTCATACAAAACTCTGCCGCCCGCATTCTTACCCGCACCAAACCCCGCTCCCCGATTACCCCAGTCCTTGTCAGGCTGCCTGTCCCAGAGAGGATCGACTTCGAGATCCTCACTCTTGTCCTCAAATCCCTCCTCTCCTCTGCGCTTCCCCCCTACCTCTCTGACCTCCTCTCTCCTCACAACAATGCCCGTTGTCTCCGTTCCACCGAGTGTGGCCTCCTCCTTGTCCCCCAAGTCCTCTGCTCCACCCTCGGTGGCCGTGCCTTCAGCCACTACATCCTGAGGCTCTGGAACTCCCTGCCTCAACTCCCTTCGCCTCATCCCCTCTCTTCCTAGTTTCAGGTCTCAGCTGAAGACCTTTCTTTTCGACCGCGCCTTTGGTCTCCTTCCTCCCCCTCCCCCTGGCTCGGACCCGGGATCTGGCATGGAGGGCGCTATATAAATCCAAGTTGTTGTTGTTGTTAAATTTCATCTGCCACATATCTGCCCATTTAACCAGTCTGCCTCTGTCCTCTTGCAGTCTACTACTATAGATACTTAATAAGGAAGAATTTGCACGGCTATGGGGTAAGAGCAAGGGAGTGGGACTAGTTGGTAGTTCTTTTGAAAGAGCTGACACAGGCACAATGAGCCAAATGGCATCCTTCTGTGCTGTAAATTTCTATGATTCTAAGATTGATTGCTTCATGAAAATGTTACTGTTTGATTACACCTATCCCCTCTCTCCTTGCTTGGTGTCCACCCCACCATGGTGAAGTCCTCCAAGATGTTATCCTACATCCAAGTTTCCTTACTCCACACAGAGCCTAATAATAATCCCTCCAAAACCAAAAACAATAATAAATTGGTCATTTTCAATCTACGACTGTCTGTGGGACATTGCTGTGCGCAATTGGCTGCCGCCTTCGCCCACAAATATACAGTCAATTCACTTTACAGTGTCTTCTGTGAAGCGCTTTGGGACGTCCTCCCGACGTGAAAAGCGCTATATCAAATGCAAGGATTATTATTAATATGATGATTATTACAAGAAGGTTGCTATATATTTGTATCATATGAATAAAGAGTGTCTCTCTCTCTCTCTCTCTCTCTCTCTCGTACAGGTATATGTGTAGCTGAACCAAAGGAATTCAAGGTTTTTAAGAAATTTTTCATCTCTTTGAGACTGCCCTACTCTGTGAAACGGAATGAACAGGTGGAGATCAAAGCTGTTATATACAACTACAGTGATCGGGAGCTGGAGGTAACCAGTTATAATGCCCGTGCATGGAATATTTTAATAATGACGATGATAATAATCATTGCATGTCTTATAGCACCTTAGCATTTTATTAAGACATCTCAAAGAGCTTCACATGTACTGTAAAGTGCATTGACTGTGTATTTTGTGGGCGAAATGCAGCAGCTAATTACGCACAGCAGTATCCCACAAACCGTTGAGAAAATTAATTCAGAAACATGTTTAGATATTGCTCTGCACAAATTGCCTGCCAGGGTCACCTACAAAATATGCAATCACTACACTTTAGAGTATTTTGCCTCTCTCTACCTCTCCGACCTCCTCACTCCTCAATCCATCACCAGCGCCGTTCGAATGGCACAGATTTCCTGCTTGTCCCTTGCACACTCTGCCCCACCATCAGAGGTCGCGCTTTCACTCCACTGCACCTCGAAACTTTGGAACACTCTCCTTTCCCCCCTCTCTCCCCCTTTTCAAGTTACGCCTGAAACCCTTCCTCTTCGAAAGTGCTTACAGCCACCTCGTCCCCACCCAATCGCCCACCCTCGCTCGCCACTGTTTAGTGCTCCGAGACACTATCCTGTGGAGGCGCTATATGAGTGCAAGTTGTTGTCGTATGTCCAATGAAGTGCTTTAAGTTATCTTGATGATGAAACAAGTTGCACTACCAAATGGAAAGGTTCTTATTAAATACTCTATTAATGCTTGCTATTAGCTCTTTATGTTTGTAGAAAGTTTGGTTACAGGCATTGCATCAAATGTGGAACTTATTGATATTTCTGCTGTTTATTTAGCAACCTCAAGATCCTGATCCTTTTCTCAGCCTTTATGAACATTTTGGCTGATAATTTAATCCTTGAATTTAATATAAATTAACATATAAATTTCACGTATTTGCGATATCTGAAAGCACTTAACGAGATTCACTCTAAAGTGCATTTTTTTAGATGAAAAAGGCAGCCAATTTACACGCAGCAATGTCCCTCAAACAACTGTGAAGTGAGTGAGCAATTTTGTCTGTCAAATGCAAGGATTATTTTTGTCGGCCAAGACCCCAAGGGATAAAATCTCTTCCCCCCCTCCTGACAGCACCGCAGGCCCAGATTAAGGGATCAGCAGCCCCAAACCAATCACATTTGGGGACAATTTGACCGATCCAAGCAAAATATGAAGAATACCTTTTAAAAATATTTTCTGGCATAACTTGATTACAAACATGTCATCTACGTGATCAAAACTTAATGTAGGTGTCAAATTGTGCTCAATGGACAGGGCGGCGAATGCATTTCATCTATCCTGGATCATTGTAGAGCTGAGTGAGGTTTTCCTGAGTCTTGTCTTTGAGAACGAGCATTCACCCTCACAGACTATTACTGGTCATGTTGAGAATATACGAAGATCAACTGTCACAGTTGGAAATGTTGATTCCACCGAGTGATTCTATTTCATATACTTTTTCTAATTTCTCACTGTATCGCTGTTAGACATGCCTCCTGCTCCCCACACTGCCTCTAAGCTCATCTGACCTATTGGATACGACTACTACCTCCAGCTTCACCCCTCTTATGCTCAATCTCTGGTCAGCCTTAGAGCGCTGAGAAAGTTAGGCACTTTTTAAGGAGGAAAATGAGTCATCATAGCCGGGCAGGGTCCCCTCAGACCCCAAACCATGGTTTACCTGGTTTATTGGTTAATCGGTTTAATATCCACTTGGAAATGCGCAGATGAGAGCTGAGCTCTGTTTGAGGCCTCACCCGAAAGACGGCAATTTTGCGGTGGCACCACCAGCACTGCACTGGAGTGTCAGGCTGGACTGTGAGATCAAAGTCCCCAACACAGACTTAAATCCACAACCTGACTGAGAGCTGAGAGGTGAGCATGCAACCGAACGAGCCTAGCTGAGACTTCTCTAAGATCAAGTGAAAATTTGGAGCAGTTTTAAATCCGGTCTGAATTTGGGGAATTTCATGGTTCATTCGGTAAACAGGAGCATCAGCTTCCAACTAAGAGCAGAGGAGGGGCTGTGCTGCAGAGATGGTCATCGGATCTCTTTAAGCCTACAAAGTGCGGGCGCCTTGACACTCTGCCCTCTTCTCTTGCCCAGGTCGAGATCTACATGAGCGCGGTCGACGGGCTCTGTAGCCCAGCAATGTCACATCAAAATGCAAGGAAGGTCAAAGTCAAAGAGAATTCCGCCTATCCTGTCTTCTTCTCTATCGTGCCACTCATCATGGGCAACGTTCCCATCAAAGTCATTGCGCTGATCCGAGAAGATGATGAAGTGCCAATACATGACGCTATTACAAAGCTCCTCTGGGTAGTGGTAAGTGAATGACCGATCAACAAGATCAACAACAGATGACATTTGCACAGCACCTTTCACGTCGGGAGGATGTCCTAAGGTGCTGGGCAATCAGGGATTTGGATCGGAGCAGGGATTGGGATCAGGATGATAGGAGGGTGGGGTTGAAAGTGCAGTCGAAGAGGAGATCCTTGAGATGTCCCTTGAAGCAGGCAAGGAGGGAGCAAGGTCAAGGGACTTTGGGATGGAGTTCCAAAGGGTGAGTTAGAGAGGCTGAAGGCCTGGCCACGGATGGTGGGGCAGAGGATGTGGCGCAGGTTGGAGTCTGCTGAGCGGAGGGAGTGGACTTCACTTTATGGAGTTAACAGGTCACAGAGTTAGGAAGGACGGAGGTTGTGGAGGATTTTGAACGTGAAGGTGAGGATTTTGACCTTCTTCCTCTGGGGGAAACAACTGGTAACCCCAAGGATTGATGGTTGGACATTAAATCCAGAATGGTCAAAGATGCTGGGTTGTGTCTCAACACTAATTTGCATTCAAACAGTATCCCTCATATAGGGTAATAATGTCTCAAAGCACATCACAATGATGAGGTCAGATGCCGAGGAAAGGAGAGGGCAAGGGGAACAAAGTTGCAACAACAACAACAACAAGATTCCATTTATAAAGCGCCTTTCACGTCAGGAGGACGTCCCAAGGCGCTGCACAGTTGGGTCATGACCCGAGCAGGGGGGAAATGGTCAGGGGAGGGGAGGGAGCGAGGAGGGGGGAAATGGTCAGGGTGAGGGGAGGGAAGGGAGGGAGCGAGTAGGGGGTAGAGAGTCGAGAGCGGAGCTGAAGGCTCGGTCAAAGAGAAAGGTTTTGAGACCGGCCTTGAAGGAGGAGAGGGAGGAAGCGGCGAAGGCACTGGGGGATAGAGTTCCAGAGCCTCGGGGCTGAGAGGCTGAAGGCCCGACCACCAATGGTAGGGCGATTGGGGCGCGGGACGTGGAGCAGACCGGAGCCGGAGGAACGGAGGGTACGGGCAGGTAGGTAGGGGATAGTAGGTTGGAGAGGTAGGAGGGAGCGAGGCCGTGAATGGCCTTGTAGGTGAGGATGAGGATCTTGAAATCAATCCTCTGGGGGATGGGGAGCCAGTGGAGGTGAGCGAGGGTGCAGTCAAAGAGATAGGATTTCAGGTGTTAAGACAAAGAGAGCTAAAATAATGAATTATATAAAACAGAAGGGGGCTGTTTCAGAGGTTAGGGGTATTGTGATTGAAGACTCTGCCACCAATGGTTTATCAAAGTGAGGGGCACTGTATAAATGGATTTTGTTGTATTTTTTTTTATTGAAAATTACTGACTGTAAATGTAACAACTAATCTAATTGATGAATCATGGACTTTATTTGAATGGTCTTCAATCCCACATCTGTACTCTTACTTATTCAGTGTCTCTTTCACTTTGGTAACACAATAAAATAATAATCCTCGCATTTGACTTAGTACCTTGTCACGTCATCGAGACGTTTCAAAGCGCTTTATAGATTATATTGTAAATTGGAGACTGCGTATTTTGTTGGCGAAAGGCGACAGCGAACTGTGCACAGCAGTGTCCACAAACAGTCATGGATTGAGTTACCAAATTATTAGCTTATTATTACCCCCAGAAAGCGATCAACCAGTTGACTAACAACTGGGTTCCTACTTACTATGAGGTAAACAGAGGCAAGTAAGGAAGGTTGCTAAGGTTTTGTCCTGCCCAGGAATCAAACCTGTGTTCTCTCAATTGCGCGGCAAGCACGTTAACAAAGTACAACACTAAGAACGTACATTTATATAGTGCTTTTCACCTGAGGTAGCGTCCCGGAGTGCTTGACAGTGGCGGAGTCTGACCCTGAGTCAGGGGAACGGGGTGAGGTGAGCAAAACCACGATCAAAAAGGAAGGTCTTTATGCGGGATTTGAATGTATGAAGGGACGGGGGCAAGGCGGGGCGATTGAGGGAGAGAATTCCAAACTTTTGAGCCATGGTGGCTGAAGGCACGGCCACCGATGGTGGAGCTGAAGGGGCAAAGGAATGAACAGGAGACCAGAGCTGGAGTGGAGGCAGTGTGTAGCGAAGTGGGGGGTCAAGCAAATCGGATATGTGAGACATGCGAGGGCATGAAGTTATTTGAAAACGAGTGAGAGGATCTTGAAATTGATCCGTTCAGTAATCGGGAGCCAGTGAACCTCCCTGCGACTGGTGTGATGGGGGTGTGGAGCAAAAGTGAAGCTGAGAATACTGTATCAGTTGCACTTTGTGTATGGTGGAGCTGGGGAGACCAGCGAGGAGGGCATTGAAATAGACCAGGCGGGAAGCGACATAGGATTGGATGAGAGTTTTAGCTGATTTTGTTGTGAGGTACAGATGGAGGTGGGCAATGTGACAGAAGTTACAAAATAGTGGAACCGGTCAGGGAATGGATGTGGGGGGTGGAAAGGAAGATTGGGGATTGAACCTGATGCCTAAGTTGCCCACAGGTTTAGTGAGTCTGCCAGAGAACCCAGGGAAGTTGAGGAGTTCAGATCTGCAGGAGAGAAGACATATGGCTTCTGTCTTACGGATGTTCAGCTGCAGGACTTTTGCACTCATCCAGGCCTTGATGTTCCTCGGGCAAGCTGACAAGACATCAGTGGCCTGGGATTCGCAGCTGGAGGAGGATAAGTAGATTTGGGAGCCATCCGCATACATGTGAAAGTTGACCCCATAATCTGCAGATGACATAGTCGAGAGGGAACATTTAGATGAGGAAAAGAAGGGAGACAAAAATGGAGCCTAGGGTTGACCGGGCAGGGACAGTAGGAAAAAAACATATGCCCAGATGTATTGTTGGTCGTAGTTAACTTGGACTCGAACCATGTAAGTGCAGTTCCACTAATGCGGTGAGAGAGGAGAGGCAGCGGAGTTCGACTGTGTCAAATGTGGCAGAGTGGTCCAAGAGAATGAAGAGACTAGAGGTAGCCTTGGTCACACACAGAGAGAAAGCCATTTGTTAATTTGACGAGCGCTGTGGGCAGGGTGAAAACCGGACTGGAGGGGTTTGAGTAGGAGGGAGTGGAGGGAGAGGCATCCGCAAAACTTTAACCAGGAAGGGCAGGTTTGATATGGGTCTGAAGTTTGTGAGGTTGAAGGGATGGAGGATGGGTTTGTTAAGGAGAGGAATGATGACAGCGGTTTTGAGGGGCAGTGGACAGAACCTGAAGAGTTTATTGTGTCAGTTGGCAGTGGGCAGAGGAGAGGGAATTGAGTAACCACTACGCTACAGGACTCCACGTTCTTCCAAGGCTGCTGAGACCCTCATTCATGCCTTCATCATATAGTTGCTTCAAACTTATTGATCCACCTTTACCCTTTGCTCAGTGAACACCGACCTACTTTGCATTGCCTGCGTTATTCACCATGGGTGTTAGGCCGCTCTGCCCTCCACTCACTGGAACTTGGGTGCCAAGCCGGAAGCATTCGATCTTTGAGAAATCCTCCTGAGACATAAATGATTGTACTATCAGTACCATTTGTTCCTTCAGGGAGAAGGTGTGATGAAGACAGAGGAGAAATCCTTCAGTATCAATCCACATGGTGAGTACACACATCTCAAATAATTGATTCCATGTGGTGGGGGCGGGGAGGAGCGTAGTAGATGGATTGGGTGGGGGGGAGAGGTAAGAGAAATACCTTAGGCCTGGCCTGGTGCCACGCTGAAAAAGCGTCCGGAAGAGAATGCACAGTTTCCCTCTGGAAGGACTTACTCCTGGAGAATATTAAGCACAGTTAGCAATAGTTGTGCTTGACAACAGAATGTCGCTCTTCTGTAGTGCTCCAGTTCCTGATCGAGGCGTCAAGAGTTCTCCAGGGCACTGTCTGCTCTGAACCAGCTCAGCCTCACTCACTATCCGGATGGGCAGATCAGTCGCCGGCTGTAGGGGTTCTTGTCTTTCAGCTCCTGTTAGCCCCCGTAGCGAACGCCAGCGAGTACCACCAGGCTGTCAATGGGCAGGCTTCACAGTCTTAGCTCTTTAAACTGGTTAAGCTTTTATTATAATAACAACTTGCATTTATGTAACGCCCCTCACGCGAGATAGTGTCCTGAATTGCTTTGCAGTGGCGGAGACTGACCCCGAGCCACGGGGAGCGGGGAGCGGGGGGGGGAGCCGACCAAGCATGATCAAAAAAAAAAGGTCTTTAGGCAGAATTTGAAAGTGGCGAGGGTGGGGGTAAGGCGGGGTGGAGGGTTGTGGGAGAGAGTTCCAGGGTTTCGAGGCATAGTGGTTGAACGCACGGCCACTGATGGTGTCGGAGGGGATGAGGGAGAGTCAACCAAGCAGTGGCAGCGGGTTGTGGGGTGTGAGGTCGGCAAATCAGATAGGAAGGGAGATGCGAGGGCGTGGAGAGATTTGAAAACAAGTGAGAGGATCTCGAAATCGATCCATTTGGTAATTGGGAGACAGTGGAGCCTGGCAAGGGGGTATGGTGGGCGTACGGAGGTTTGTGCGTGAGTCCTCCAGGCGGCGGAGTTTGATTTAGTTGGCTTTTGTGCATTCTGGAGCTGGGGAGACCAGTGAGGAGAGCATTTGAACAGTCCAGCCGGGAAGTGATGAAGACATTTACAAGGGTTTTGCTGCTTTGGTTGTGAGGTAGGGACAGAGGCGGACAATGTGACAGAGGTGGAAAAAAGCAGTCCTTACATTTGATATAGTCCCTTTCACTTTGGAAATTACTGCCCAAAGCACACTTCACATATAATCCAGTGAAGCGCATTGAGACATGTTGACAACGTGATAATGCACTACATCAAATCAACGATTAATATTAATACATTCTTACTTCTATATGTAGACCAACATTGTGTATGTCAGCCGGGCTCAATTGCTCACAAATTGCCTTTGAGTCAGACTTTTGTGATTTCAAACCCTCCTAAGATAACGCTGCAATGCAGTCGATGAATTTTTTTGGAGATGGCCGATTGTGTTTCGGATGAAACATTAAAGCCTGGTTTAAAGATGCCTTGACGATATTCAAAAACAGAAAGGAGAGGAGTTTATCTTGGTATTCTGGCCAACAATCCCCCAAATAAATTTGGTTATTCATTTCATGGCTGTCTGTGGGACATCGCTGTGCACCACACGCGGACTCGACACTTGACAGTAATTCTTGCGAAATGGGTTTGGGACTTCCTCCTGTTGTGAAAGATGTCGAACAAACTTAAGAATACTCTCTTTGTCTTTCTTTAGAAAAATCTTCATATGACATCTATGAAGACAAGCCAAACAACCAAGTACCTGATACAGAATCCTATCTGTACATTCGAGCAAGAGGTAATTTAATTTCATAAGGGGAGGAATAAATGTAGTTGGAGACTGAATGGCAGTTTTGTACAATCAGTGGTGGAGTCTATCAAACCCATGTGACTAAATCCTGCACTGAAATTCTCCTCTCTAAAGCCATTGCCCGCTCTTTCCCCATTATGTGCGCCGGAGCTCAATGACCCACTGAAGCTCTCTATTCTCATCACATTCTTAACCTCTCTCTCCCTCCCCCCAAGCCCCCCGCCGCCCCCGCTCCCCCCCACACACACACTTATTATGTCCATGTCAGTGCTCATTCTTTATTGAAGCTCGTTACTTTAATCCGATTCCCCCGACCTCCCCCTCCCCACCGCCCCGCAAAGTGTCAGTGTCCAATCTAAAGTGGGGAAAGATTGGTAAATCGGGAACTCCTCGCTGAGACAGTCACAATTTCCTTTTGTGTCCAAGGGGGCGCGTTGGGGGAGTCCGTGGACAACTGCCTGACCCCTGATGGCATAAACAAATTGATCCGAGTCCCAAGGGGATGTGCTGAGCAAACATCTATACTTATGGCCCCCACTGTGTTCGCTGTGGAGTATCTAGATAAGAGCGACCAGTGGCTGACTCTGAAACCTGAGAGGAAGGATGAAGCTCTCCAGCAGATCGAAGCAGGTGCGTCCAGTAAACTGGATCCAACTGAAGCAGAATCGGTATTTACAGCCGCACGTGTAAGAGAGTAGCACTACTTCCTCCGAGTCGAAGGTCAATACCACATGTGGGGAAACTTGAGCAAAGCGCTGTGGATAGCGCTGCATTGGATGAGTTGTTAAACTTCTCTGCCCGGTTGAAGCAGATGTTTAAAAGCCTACGCCTTTAAGAAAACTCTCTCAGTGTCCTGGCTGACAAATAAGATCCCAAATAAGATGACTTATTTGCGAGATTGATGTTTGCTGAACGTCACTGTGTGCAAATCAGCTGCCGCATTCGAGCACTAAACGCAGCGTCAACTGTAGTTTACAGAGAATTCCGCGAAGCCCGTTGAGATGTCCTCCCAACATTGCATTGCATGCGAAAAATATTAATGATTTGGAGATGTAAGATCCCAACATGGTATCGAATGCGAAAAATATTATTGATTTTGTTTCTGGATTTCTGTTTTTTTAATGAAGTCAGAAGTGAGAAGGGTCACGGTATTTTCGGGCAGTTTAGTACTTAGAAGTTGGTTCAATGTTTTGACGGTAATTGCGTATCTCCCGATATCAGGTTACAATCGGATCCTTGGATTTAAAAAGACAGACGGATCATATGGAGCGTGGTTACATTATCCCAGCAGCACCTGGTATTTGGCTTCACTTTTTGCCGACCAAAGTGTGAGAGTGAGTGAGAAAGAGAGAGCGATTGAATGTGTTAGTGTGTGTGTGTGTGGGAGAGAGTGCGCTGTGTGCGTTAGAGTGTGGCGGGCCCTTGGGGAGTGCGGGGAGGGCTTTGCTGCGGTCGGGAATTAGGTGGCCCCAGGATGGGCTGTGGATGGCAGTAGCGATCTGATGAACGGTGGATTCTATGAGACACAAACTTGTTCTGCCCACACAATATACAGTCAATTTCAATATATTCTGGGAAGCGCTTTGAGACGTCTCGAAGATGTGATAATACACTATATCAAATGCAAGGATTATTATTATTATTATTATTATTATTATTATTATCCAGGGTTGATTTCCTCGGGTGATGGTCGGATATTTGCCATTTCAGGTTGACTGCATTTGTGGTGAAGATACTCTCCATTGTCAGAACTCAGATAAATGTGGATGACCAACACGTGAGAGATTCTGTGGACTATTTGGTCAAAGGCCAACGGACCTCTGGGTATTTCTTCGACCCAAAGCCGGTCATACACCGAGACATGCAGGTAATGTAAAGCTTACAGTTTTTCCCATCGAATCTTAAATTAGAGTCAGGACAGAGAGCCCCTGGGACAAAACTGTAGCTGACAGATCGGGAGCTCAATGTTTTCGATCCTGGTTCATGCTGTTTGCTGGTCTCAACCCCAGATTGAGGCTGGATTGGCCCTCCCACAGAGAAAACGTAGTTAGTCAAGCGTTACTGCTCCGTCTCCTTCCATAGTACCCTCCAGTGGTGCTGCACATGGTGCTGAGTGGGGAGCGATCAGCTTTGGTGGAGATTTCCCATTGTACCTGTTTGCCTGTGAGAAGTATGGGGGCGTGAATTTCCATGTGTGAAGAGAGACTGCTTTGAGCACTCTATTCCATCTAGGTTTCTTTCTGATGGTTTGTCTGTGCTCTGTAGGGTGGGGTTGGTGGGAAGGAGCATAAGATATCCATCACAGCATTTGTGACAATCTCCCTCCTCCGTGCTCGGAACGCACTTAAATGGGAAGCACAGGGATCAGTGGTGAGTCATGTTTATTACCTATAATCATAATCAATACAATTCATAATAATGCTTTGAATTTGATATTATGCCTTTCAGTGAAGATCTACTCAAATCTTCACTCCACAAACTGCAGACTATGAAGAACTTTGTAGGATGTGTCCTCAGTTGCACTAGGCTTCATGACTATCACCCCTCCTCACCAGCCCCACTGGCTCCCCATTCCCCAGAGGTTCGGTTCAAGATCCTCGTGCTCACTTTTAAATTCCTCTACGGTCTTGCCCCACCTTACGCCTACAACCTTCCTAAAACTGTAAAACCCACCCGCTCCCTCCGCTCAGTGGACACCGGCCTGCTTCAAGTCCCCAGCTTGCCCACCACCGTCAGTGTTCGGGTCTTTAGCCCTCACTCTATCCAGGAGTCTCGCTGCCTTGCCCTTTCCCTCACCACCTTCAAGGTCCATCTCAAGACTTTTGTCTTTGACCGTGCCTTTGATCGTCTTGGTGTTATGTGCAAATCGAATCGGGTCTCTCCCTGTGTCATGGCTGACAATCTCCCAAACAAAGACACACATTCACATCCCCCACCCGGAGTGTGATAAGCGACCATTAACTCTAACTTCTCTCTCGCTGACTCTTAGAATTCCCCCTCTCAATGGGAAGAATTTTCTCCTTTCATTTCTCCATTTTGTCTTAGAATCAAAGTATTGAAAAAGCAGCAGTTTTCCTGGACCTGCAAGTGAACAGCATTGACCGTCCTTATGTTATGGCCATCACCGCCTATGCCTTGGCCCTGAAGGACCCTGACAGTCCAGCTGCTCAGCGAGCAAATGAGAAGCTGAGAAAATGGCAACTCTCATCTCAGGTTACTTCTCTCTCTCTCTCTCTCTCTCTTTGTCTCTCTGTCTGTCTGTCTGTCTGTCTGTCTGTCTGTCTGTCTGTCTGTCTGTCTGTCTGTCTGTCTGTCTGTCTGTCTGTCTGTCTGTCTGTCTGTCTGTCTGTCTGTGTCTTTCCTTCCTTCCTTTCTTTTTCTTTCTTCCTTTCTTCCTTTCTTTCTTTTCTTTCTTTCTTTTCTTTCTTTCTTTCTTTTTCTTTCTTTCTTCCTTTCTTTCTTTCTTTCCTTCCTTCCTTCCTTCCTTCCGCCCACTCGCCCACCCGGAGGACAGTCAGGGATATAGGCCAGTGCTTGGGGTCGGGATTGGGGAGGATGCATGTCAGGGAGGGTGGGATGGTGGCCAAAGGATCGGTCGAAGAGGAGGGTTTTGAGACACACCTTGAAGGAGGCGAGAGAGGGAGCAAAGGAAATATGGGAGCCTGCTGAGCGGAGGGAGCAGACAAGTTTATATGGGGACAGTAGGTCGCAGAGGTCGGGAGGAGCAAAGCCCTGGAGGGCCTTGAAGGTGAGGATGAGGATTTTGAATTCTCTCCTCTGAGGGATGGGGAGCCAATGGAGCCGGGAGAGGCTGGGAGTGATGGCGTCACGGAACCTGGTACAGGAGAGGACATGAGCTGCAAAGTTCTGGATGATCTGCAGCTTGTGGAGGGAAGAATTGGGTGGGCCGGCAAGTAGGGAGTTGGTGTTATCAAGCCTTGATGTGACGAATGCATGAATGAGGGTTTCGGCAGCTTGAGGGGTGAGGCAGTGGCAGAGCCCGGCGATGTGGCGGAGGTGGGGGAAGGCAGAGCAGGTCATGGCACGGATGTGGGGTATAAAGGACAGTTGAGGGTCAAACAAGAAACCCAGGTTCCGGACTGGCCCGGTAATGTGGAGTGTGTATTCCTGGATGGTGATGCTGTCAGTGCCTGAGTTGTGGAAGCGCTGAAGGGAGCAAACCAGTAGGGCATCGGTCTTATTGACGTTCAACTGTAGAAAGTTAGCTCTCATCCCGGACTTGATGTCTGACAGATTGCTATAGTCCTGGAGTCGAGGGTGTGCACACTCTGGAGGCCACAAGCTCTTCTGTGCCGTGACACCCTCCTCAATTGGATGAGTGGGGTACATCCCTCCAGGGGAAATAGTGTGTACTCCATTCCAGATATGGGGACATTTTTCCACCTACCTATGTGGGAATCTCAGACTGGTAGGGATATTCTTCAGCACAGTGTTGGGTTTCCATACGTGTCAAGACACCTGGCTCACCAAATGGTATTGTTCCTCCTATAAACACAGAGCAAGGTGTTCAATTCTGGTGGGCTGACCAAACTCTGCTCGAGGAAAACCCAGGGAGAGTACCTAAAGCATCAGCAATAACTGTCGAAGCGACATCCTACGCGCTCTTACAAACACTGCAAATGAAGGATCTCACGTACGCAGCCCCCATTGTCAAGTGGTTAACCGAGCAGCGAAATTATGGGGGAGGATTTCATTCGACGCAGGTACCATTCTGGCTGAGTTATGTATGTCTATCTGTCTCAGTCACTCACACTCTCGGCTCTGAGGTTGTGGATTCAAACACCACGTCAGGGCTCAAACGGTCCACAGCTGATGCCTTCATGCAGCGCTGGAATGGAGGATTGGATTGTCAGAGATGACAACCTTCTGGAAACCAAGCTCTTGTTGTGCCCTGTTCAGGTGGTGTTGAAAAAACTTCTGCAGTGCCGTCAGAAAAAAGACAAAGACGTTTCTCGTGGTTCTCTGGCCGCCAAATGCTCAGAGCAAATTGGTCATTCACTTCACTTGTTAAGCACTCCGAGACCCTGCCCAACGTGAACGCAAGTTTTCATTGCTGCTGTGGTAGAACATTGCCGCGTTCACTTATAAAATACGCAGTGACAATACTTTACAATTTAAAACTTTGCAATGTTCTGATCTGAAAGGCTCTGTATCAAATGTAAGGATTATTTATTGTATGTATCAATCAAGAATAATCCTTGTATTTTACCATGTCGAGGAGAGTGTTAAACTGTAGAAAATTATTCAATATATTCCTCACATCTGATTCACTGTAAATGCTCAGCACCCCCCCCCCCCCCATCCCCCATTGCGCCTTAAGGCTCGCACTTTCTGGGCCTCACTTCCTATGCCCCAGAGCCATCTCCTCTATATGGCCGTCACTTCCTATGCATTGGTCACTTATCTGGACCTCTACCTCCTGTACCTCAACTTCATTTCTTGTGCCTTGGCATCATTTCCTGCGCTCCAGGCAGAGGGCAGAGTGCGGGAGGACGTCCCAAAGCGCTTCACAGAACACACTGTAAAGTGAATTGACTGTATATTTGTGGCGAACGCGGCAGCCAATTGCGCACAACAATGTCCCACAAACAGTCGTAGATTAGAAATGACCAATTTATTATTGTTTTTGGTTTGGAGGGATTATTATTAGGCTCTGTGTGGAGTAAGGAAACTTGCCCAAGGTTTCGCCCTCTGCCTGGAATTGAATCCAGGTCTCTCACTTGCAAAGCGAGTGCTCTAACCACTGAGCTACAGGACTCCACTCTATAAGTCACTGGTGAATAGTGGCTCCGCATAGAGGCTGAATGCACAGCAGCCAATTGCAGAGCGGAGGGGATGTAGAAGACCCAGGACAAATGAACGAAAGGGTACACAGAGGCGTGGGGTGTAAGCAGATCGGGGAGGTAGGGAGGTGCCAGGGCGCGAAGTGATTAGAAAGTGAGAATGAGGAATGTAGTAATAAATGTAGTAATAGCATTACTGCTGTAGTAATGGTAATCATATTTTACAGTGCTATTGCTAATGCCAGTATTAATGTTATCATTATTACAATCTCCTGCTTTTCTCACACTAAACTAACCTCCTCCTTTTCTCTCCACGGTGCAGGACACAGTGATTGCCCTGGAAGCTCTGTCGGCCTACCAGATGGCCACCTTTGAGAAGGAAGACTTGAGTCTAAAATTTGAATTTAGTGTTCCCGGCAGCGACAAGAGGACAGTACAGCTGGAGAAGAGAAACGCCCTCGTCCAAGAGGAGCTCCAGGTGACTATAGTGCAGGCATCTGGTTTGAGCTCCTTTTTATTTTGTCACCTCGGTATCTGAGACAGAAGGAAACTGATCACAACTCTTCAGAGTGTGTAATCTAAACAGTTGTTATGGGTGGGAATGCCCGGCTTGAAAGGGTGGTGGAAACCGATTCAATTGCAACGCTCAGAAAGTGAATTGGATAGGTATTGGAAAAGGAATAATTTGCAAGGATATGGGGAAAGAGCAGGAGAGTGGGACTAATTGGGTAGCTCTTCCGAAGCACGATGGGCTGAATGGCCTCCTTCTGTGCTATAGCATTCTACGATTCTGTGATAATCCAGACTGGGAGTTCCAGATAAAAAAAATTCACCCACAAACTTGCGATTCCAGCATATGATATGGAATTGTCTCTCTCTCTCTCTCTCTCTTTCTCTCTGTCTCCCCGGAGGGACACGCCTTTCTTACCTAATTCCAGAGAGTGTGAGGTTCATACTGATAAGAGTAGAGGAATTTTAAATTACTCCCTATTAAATCCATTCATCCACTTCCCGGCAGCTTCACTTTAGGGTTAGGAATGTATTTCTGATCTACTCCTATCCTACTTCTCCACTCGTCCCCCCCACTCCTTGGCTCCCGCGCCCACTCCTTGCCAATCATAGCCTTGCCTTCCGTTCTTATTTGCTAATCTCTAGAAATCTCACCCTCTACCACTCCAGCTCACCCCGAACCACTGGAAATCCCTCCAGCGTTTCTGTTCTTCAATGCCTACATCAACTCCTGCCTCTTTAATCATGTCTATGGCAAGCTCTCCCGGTCTCTCACTCAGGGTCCAGCCCTAAATTGTTGTTGTTGTTTACTACGCATCCCCACATAAATCTCCCATACCGCCGAAGGCCATATGCCCTCGTGTATCAGTTCCCGTATGCCCACCACCCTTGGCCTTCTCAGGGAGACATCGTGGAGATGTTCTGCTCTCAAAAGACACTTTTGAGTGCGAGTTGTTGTAATTTCTCGACATCACAACACTGAACATCGGCACATGGTCCAAATGGCTTCCTTCTGTGCTGTAAAATTCTACGATTCGACAAACACACGTGGTTCGTGAACGGCGCTTTACAACTTTCATTTTGTTCTTGTTATCCCGACGCGAAAGGCGCTACACAAGTGTAATCTTCTTGTTGTTGTTGTCATCTCGAAGCTACTGACACCAAGATCTTGTTTTTATTTGTCTGCTAGTTCCCGTTAGGAAGCAACATTCACATTGAGCTGTCCGGCAGAGGAAACGCAACATTGACTGTGAGTAGATGGACTCAAGCGTGTGCGGGATTTCCAAGCACCTCACGGGTCTGAGAATCCACCCGGTCTCAGCCTAAGAGATCATTTTGCCTTAAAATTTAAATTTGCACAAAATCGAAGAGAGTTAGTTATTAGTTATCTAATGGAGTCCTGTAGCTCAGTGGTTAGAGCACTCGCTTTGCAAGCGAGAGACCTGGGTTCGATTCCCGGCAGGGTGAAACCTTGAGCAAGTTTCCTTACTCCACACTTCTGATAATAATCCCTCCAAAACCAAAAACAATAATAAATTGGTCATTTTCAATCTACGACTGTTTGTGTGACACTGCTGCTGCATTTCGCCCACAAATATACAGTCAATTCACTTTACAGTCTATTCTGGGAAGCGCTTTGAGACATCTAGAAGACGTGAAAAGCATTATATGAAATGCAAGGATTATTATTATTATTATCAATCTTAATTTCCAAATTGGTGCAATTGCATTGTGAATGGCTTCAAGGTTACCATCCTGTTTGAAGGTCCGTAGATAGGGTTGAGTCATTGAGAAGCACTATGAGCCATTCTTGCGGTGTGAATGGTGCTGTACAAGCACCAGTCATTGTGAAGCTCATTGAGACATCTGTCCTGAGTGAAAGACAGTTTGTAGGTGCGAATCGTCGTGAAATACAGGACCATCCTACATGAAAGGCGATGAATAACCATGAGTTGTGAAGCTCTTTGTGATGTGTATAACTGTATTTCGTTTGTCAATCTTTAAGATTCTGAAAACATATCAAGTTTTGGAAGAGACCACAAACATTTGCAACCATTTCAAACTTGAAGTGAACGTATTTGGTAAAGTAGAATACATGAGTAAGTATTGCCTCTTCTATTGCATCAAATTGCATCACTCCAATGCTCATCAGATGCCACTGGATCCCTATTTCCAAATGGATCACCTTCACTGACAGATTGCCTTACTCCCTTGTACCTCACCCTCTCTCTGACCTGCGGGAATCCCACTTCTCTGCCCATGCCCTTTGCTCAACCAATGCAGACCTCTTGTGTTCATCCACTATAACCTCAATCTTGCGTTCCCTGCTGCTACTCCTCTGTGTCAGCCCCGTTTTACCTATCCGTCAATCCCACTTGAAGTCTCATCTCTTTGACCATGTCTATAGTCACCATGTGCTCCAGCTTCTCCTCTGCTATTTGTCGGACTATGCCAATATGAAGAGCATTGAGATGTTATCCTACTTTAAGGGTGCTGTTTAAGTGCAAGTTGTTGTAAAATGGTAATCAATGGGCGGCCGGATAGCAAACAACCCTTCCTGGTGTGTGTGGGGGGTGGGTGGGGGGGAGGGGAGTTGCATTGCCGAAGCTATCTTCCTTGGAATGAGAGAATAAACCACGGTCCCGTCTGCCTGTTCAGATGGGCATCCAATATATCATGGCGATACTCGAAATAAATGTTCCTCCTGGTGACCTCACCAATAATTCCTCAAATGGAATTGTACTTTCCCTCTCAACCCAGTTGTGCCCTTTAAATATCATTTAACACCTCAATCACAAAGCAGTTTCGCCTAAACGTAGTTTACACATGCTGCGTGCTATCCACACACAGAACTGCACAGATTACGGCGGCTTCATCCCACAGTTTGTACACCATTCACACAGTTAGCATCAGGTTTCAATTTATTGCATACAGTTTATGTGCAGTATACACACAGTTAACGCACTGTTTGCATTCAATTGTCACGGTATTTACACTCCGTTAATGCACAGTTTGTACTGTGTCTACATGCAGTTAACTTGCAGTTTATAATAATATAGATTATATTAATAATTCTTGCATTTGATATAGCGCCTTATCGCTTGCTCGAGACATCTCAGAGCATTTCACAGAATATACTGTATAGCTTATTTGTGGTTTACACGTAGTTTGATGGTGTCGCAAAATCCCATTCCACAGGGAGTATAGAATATGAACAAGAGGACTATGATTACTCTGACTACGGTATGGCTGCTGATCAGCCTATTGGACACATTGGCTGGTTTGACATCCGGAGCCGGAAAAGGCGAGCCCTGCCCAATGGTGCTGAGGATGAAGGGATCTACTATGAAGTCTGTGCCTGGTGAGTGCCTTATGTTACTTTTGAGTGAATCAGTCAATTATCTCACAAGACGACCTGTGTAATAATCCCTCCAAAACCCAAAACAATAATAAATTGGTCATTTTCAATCCACGACTGTTTGTGGGACATTGCTGTGCGCGATTGGCTGCCGCGTTCGCCCACAAATAGACAGTCAATTCACTTTACAGTGTGTTCTGTGAAGCGCTTTGGGACGTCCTCCCGACGTGAAAAGCGCTACATCAAATGCAAGGATTAGTATTATTATTATTAATAATAATACTACACGTCCCGATGGCAGTGTTGCACTATTCGAGCAAGAAGTTAAGCTGAGCTTCCGGCTACAACTGTTCAGGCAGATCTTAAACTACCACAGGGCTCTCGTGGCAAAGAAGCAGAGTACTTCTCCTGGAAGGCACTCCCCCACCACCCACTGCCCTCCTCCCACCCCCTCCTCCCGGGACAGCAATTCTCTGGATAAGATCAATTGTTTGCTGAAAGTGGCTTTGCTGGACATTGCTGTGGACAAATTCCTGCGTTTATTTGCGAAACGTGCAGTCAATACACTCTCCAGTAAATCTTGTGAGGTGCTTTGAGACATTTTGATGATGTGATGAGGCACTGTCTCAAATCCAACAATATAATAAAATGTAATCCAAACAGTGTAATAAAATAAATATATACAATAAGTAATCTTTCTATTTGATATAGTACCTGATCATATCTTCGAGGTGACTCATGGAGCGTCACAGAATATAGTGTAAACTGAATTGACTGTAGATTTTGTGGGCAAAACGCGGCAGCCAATTGCGCACAGCAGTGTCCCACAAACAGTCATGGATTCAGTGACCAATTATTATTATAACTTTAATGGATTATTACTCCCGATAAAGCAATCCAACAGTCAACTAACAACAGGATTCCAACTTACTGCTCGGTAAATAGAGATGTGTGGAGGAAGGAAACTTGCCCAACGTTTCATCCTGTCTGGGAATTAAACCCAAGTCTTTTCGTTTGCGAAATGATTGCGCTAATCGCTAAGTTACAGGACTCCACAGTTCTACCCTTAAATCGCGATTTAAGATTTAAAATCCAAACAATATAATAAAATACTTATTTATATTGTTTCATTTTATTACTAATAATAAGATTCTTATATTATTGTATCATTATTCACCACTAATTCACATTATCTGATTATTTACCACATTTGTCTTCCCCCGTTAATATTTTCATTGCATTTATTTGTATGTGACACAGGCGGGAACCTGAAAACGAAGACGGCGAGGAAATGCCACTAATGGGGTTCGTAGACATCACACTGCTCAGCGGCTTTGAACCAGAGACTCATGACCTGGACCAGGTACAGACCAATGTCTTCAAACCTTGAGGGGAATGGAGGGACTGAACTATGAGGAGAGTAAATTGGGTTGGTTCATGCTGGATAAGAGAAGATTGAGAGGCGACATGATTACTATCTTTAAATTTTCTAAGGGGCTAACAATGTAGAGCACGATAGGCTGCTTCAGCGAGTCCAGGATAGTAAAACCAGAGGACACAGCCCCGATTTTGTGGGGGGAGGGCTGTGAGGGTAAATTAAGAACAAATCGGTGGAAACCCTAGTTCAGAGAGGAGCAAATAGTCAACCCGAGGAGCAGGCTCACAAGGGAGACGGTCGAAGCAGGAAATGTTGATTCCTTCAAGCACAGATTAGATAGTTTTCTTTTAAGAAATAACATGGATTATGGGATACAGTACATCGCTAGTTCGGGACATTCGGAGTCCTGTCGCTCAGTGGTTAGAGCACTCGCTTTGCAAGCGAGGGACCTGAGTTCAATTCCAGGCAGAGGGCCAAACCTCGGGCAAGTTTCCTTACTCCACACAGAGCCTAATGATAATCCCTCCAAAACCAAAAACAATAATAAATTGGTCATTTTCAATCCACAACTGTTTGTGGGACATTGCTGTGCGCCATTGGCTGCCGCGTTCGCCCACAAATACACAGTCAATTCACTTTACAGTGTGTTCTGTGAAGCGCTTTGGGATGTCGAGAAGACGTGAAAAGCGCTATATCAAATGCAAGGATTGTTATTATTATTATTATAAGGCGCTGTATCAAATGCAAGTATCACTATTATAAACCCTACAGTCACCACAACCCCCACAGAGAAACACACTCTCTCTCTCACTCTCTCTCTCTCTCTTCTAACGTTTTGTCTGCTTGACAAACATCATTATTATTATTATTCATTATTCATAATCATTATTATTATTATTATTATTATCGAGTTTGTATTTTGGCAGTTTGCATGAGATAGATATGCGTATATGATGTTGGGGGCCAATAAAGTGTTGTAAATTAAGTGAAACGTCTTCACTTTTTCAGCTAAAGGCTGGAGCTGAGAATTACATTGATTCATATGATTTCAAGGAAGGGCGTCTGATTCTCTACGTTCAGGTCAGGAGATGATTGTTCACAAATTGGTTCTACCGTTTCTATATTCCAGTTCCTCCCTCCCCAAAGCTGTAGACTCTACAGAACTCTCCAGCCTGTAAAGCGCCAGGCTCCGCAAGCCTATTTCCCCCACAACACTTGAATCCATCCCTCAGTCTCTCCGCCTCACTCTGCCACCCCCCAGAGTCACTCCGTTTCACCCGTCCCACCCAAGAATTCTTCCGCCTCTCATCCCTCCCTTGAATTGGATTCACGACTGTTGCTGGAACACTGCTGTGTGCGATCGGCTGCCGTATTTCACCCACAAAACACACTTTACAATATATTCTGTGAAGCCCTTTGAGACATCTCAACGAGGTGATGAGGTGCTACATAAAATGCAAGGATTATTATAAATTTCAAGTGTTGTTTGGGGGCATAAATTAGCACAATCACAGCCATAACAAAGTATTGCATTCCTTACCGCCATCAGTTGTAATTGTTTTTCCTCTCCCCTAACCGCCCCCCTCCAAATGTGGGCCCATTTGTTTCCTGCTCTTCCCCAGATCATCTTGAAGATCAGGGGTTCCCTATCACACAGCGCAGGAATTGTTGATTGTTCTTATCCTTTAGGTTATGAAAATAAAAGATTGCTTTACATTTGGGGCCAAACAACTTTTTAAAATCGGATTAATACAACCGGCGACAGCGACACTTTACGATTTCTATAACCCAAGTAAGTGATGAACCCTCCCCCCTGTATATTTATTTCTGACCGATCAGTAAACAGTATCTTCGTCTGCCTTGGTCACGCTCGCCTCTCACATTGAGCTCACAGTCTAGGCTGACAACAGTCCTGAGGGGAGCATCGAATTGATCCATCTGATGAAATGTTAACTGAGTTCACCATATCATAATATTACCACACAGACGAAGGCCATTCAGCCCACTGTGCCTTTGTCGGCTCTTTGGACGAGCTACGCAATCAGTCCCACTACCCTACTCCTTTTTAAGGACGTCCTCCTGACGTGAAAGGCGTCAATCTTAAATGGAATCTTGTTGTTGTTGTTGTTGTTGTCCTTCCCCATATCCTTGCAAATTTTTCATTTTCAAGACCTCGCCAATTCCCGTTTGAAAGTTACCATTGAATCTGTTTCCACCAATGTTTTTCAGGCAATGCATTCAAGGCCAAAACAACTCTCAGGGTGAAAAAATGTCTCCCCTTTGTTTTGTTTGCCAATTAAATCTATGTCCCCTGATACCAACCCACCTGAAGTGGTAACAGTTCGTCCCTATCTACTCTAGCAAAACCCCTCATAAGTTTGAACACCTCTATTGAATCTTCCCTCAACCTTCTTTGCTCTAAGGAGGACAATCCCAGCCTCTCTAGTCTCTCCACATAATTGAAGTCCCTCATCCCTGTATCATCCTGGTAAATCTCCTCCGCACCCTGAGACATTATAGATTGTTCACTGCTATTGCATCAAAACCGCTCGGGTTCATCACTAACCCAACGCTGCCCTCTCACCTTGGATTATTCTGAATTTCAGGTTCCAAATGCACCATATTTTACAATGCTCCTGAGCAGAGCACTGTTGTGTCCAAGCTTTGTCAGGATGACGTTTGCGAATGTGCCGAAAGTAAGTTTCAATCAGATTTCCTGGGAATTTATTTGGGATATGAGGACACAACTGTCGGGAAAGTCTTTTGTTTCAGTCTCACACACACACTCGCCGACACATAGTCACAGACGCACATTCGCAAACACACTCGGAAACACAACCCCGGGCACAGTAGTGTCACACCTTCCCCCACAGCAGTGACGGTTCCGTCCACATTAGCCTCGGGTAAATAGAAGTGGGCAAAGGCCAGAAGGCCTGTTTGTAGCGGAGGGACGGGTTACAGGTGGTGGGAGGGAGGGGGTGGCGGGGCTGTGTGTGTAGGCTGAGGGATGAGGGGGTGTGTAGGGGTGAGGGGGTGTCTGTATGGGTGAGGGGGTGTGTGTAGGGGTGAGGGGATGTGTGTAGGGGTGAGAGTGTGTGTAGGGGGAATGTTTCCAGCGGGGAGTGTGTGTGCAGTGGGGGAGTGTGTGTAGGGGAGGAGTGTGTAAGGGGGGTGGTGTGTGTTGGATGGGTTATGTGTGTAGAGGAGGGTGTGTGTATGGTAGAGTGTGTACGATGGGGGAGGCTGTGTGTGTAGGAGAGGGCATGTGTGTAGCAGATGGGAGGTGTGTGTACGTGAGGGAGTGTGTGTAGGGGAGGCGTGCATGTAGGGGAGGGCTGCGTGTAGGGGAGGGAGTGTGTGTAGGTAGTGTGTGTAGGGGACCGGAGATGTGTAGGTGGGGGTGCGTGTAGGGGAGAGGGTGGTGTTTGTAGATGAGGGTGTGTGTGGGGGAGGGAGTGCATGTAGGGGAGGCGTGTGTGTAGGAGAGGGAGGTGTTTGTTGGAGAGAGGCGTGTGTAGGGGAGGGTGTGTGTTTAGGGGAGGCTGTATTTGTAGGTGAAGGGTGTGCGTAGTGGCGACGGTGTTTATGGTGGGGTGTTTAGCTGATTCCGCGGAAAAATCGCAGCTGCACTTTTCTATTTGCCCAACTAAAGAGCTGGTCTGGGCTGATCAGTGGGTGGACAGTGCCTGGAGTCCTTCGGAGTTACCTGGGTCCGAAACAGAGGACGGACATGATCCTGACATTGTGTTGCCACCCCGGCACCTTGGAGTCAACTCAGCTGCGAGGAGATGCCACTCACCACCACGTAGAAGATAGATCGCAGAACTCCCTGAGCGAAGGGTGTTCATCACCATATTTGCCTGTAACAACAGAGACATTGGGATCTCAATCCATGCAATTGACTGTTGTGTGTCTATTCCAGGTCCTTGTCCTCGTCTGAAGCGAACTTTTACCAACGATGTGGCTGATTGGGCACGGATCGATTTTGCCTGTTATACCCCAATTGTGGACTATGGTAAATTAATAAGCCTCCAAGCGCTTTCTACGAGCACAGCAGGACCACAGGAACGTATAGGATGGCGAAAAATAGTCCAGCCTAACACTCCAGCGCTGATGAATTGTAGACAATCTGACCTGAGCTGCTTCCTTTGTAGGAAATGTTAAATCTGCGCTCTTGCCTGACTGTCCAGGTGGGCGTTAAAGACCTCTTGGCCCATTTGCCCACAAAATACCCAGTCAATTCACTTCACGGTATATTCCATGAAGCGAGTTGAGACGTCTCAAAGATGTGATACGGTGCTCTACCAAATGCAAGGATTATTGAAGATTGTTATTATTTGAAAATAGAAGAGAATTTCCCAGTTTCTCTCTTCCCTTGGGTTGGGCCAAGAACTACCCAAATAAAATTGCTCATTAACTTCGTAGCTGCTTGTGTGATGTCGCTGCCAGGTTCACCCACTAACAAACAGTCATTACTCTTTACAAAATATCTTTTGAAACACTTTGGGATATCCTGCTGACACGAATGGCGTTAAATGTAAGGATTATTTACTTATTGGATGACCTCTTTGACTGTGACTGTGTCAACTCCCCACCAACCTTATAGAATCATAGATTATTAAAATATTGCAGCAGACGGAGGCCATTCTACCGATCATGCCTGTGCCAGCTCTTTGGAAGAGCTACTCAATCAGTCCTACTCCCCCGCCCTTTCCTTATTTCCTTGGGTTTTTTTTTTTCTTTTCAAGTACCTCTCCGATTCCCTTTGAAAGTTGTTATTGAATCTGTTTCCACACCTTTTCAGGCAGTGCATACCAGAAAGATTGTCACAATTCTATGGGTAAAATAAATACTCCCGTCTCCCCTCTGTGTTTTTGCCAAATATCTTGAATCCACATGCCCTGGTTATTGACCCACCTGCCAGTGGAAACAGTTTCTCCCCATCTGCTCTGTCAAAACCCCTCGTAATTTTGAATACTTCTAGCAAATGCGGTACTCCGAGACATTAAGGGAGATGGGCGTGTGAGTCATTTATCCGATGGACAAATTGTTGGCAGTGACGCTTTGTTCCCTGAAATTATATTCCAGCTTTCAAAGGCACCATATTGCACAAGAAAACTGTTGGATTTTTTAATATCTATGCTGTCACCATCGTGAAGATTATCAGAGCAAGCGGTGAGTAACTGACAAGATTAGTAGATTTTACGATAATAAAATTTATGACTCTCTTCAGGTGCAGCGGGAGCTAAGTGGGGTCTCTTTGGAGTTGAACTGGCTCCAACGTTACTTGTTTGGCAACGGAAGGTTAGAATCGAGCTAACCCTCCTTCGTGGTCCCTAGTCCAGTTCCTGAGCCCGGCGAGCACGCAGCATTTTAGGGCACTGTGGGCAGGGAGTCGTCCGACTCAATTCCTGGTAACACTACGAGCCGATGCCCAAATAGGTAGAGCTTTCAATGCCAATGTAGACAATGTAGCTCCTGGGACTTCTCCAAACCACTACTACTCCCATTGGAGAAAGCTCTCCGTCCTTACGGATGGCATTACTCCTCCTCTTTCATTTTTAATGGTCACTTTTTTTTTACTGGAGGTGAATTCCCTCACCCCCGTACACATACACATACAGTAGAATCGATATCGTTTCCACTGGGAAGAGCACTGACCCTCTACACAACTCCAACTATTCCAAAGTTACATCTTTTATGTATTTCGAACTCCACCTCCCCTTTGTCATAGTGCCTTAAGCCTTCTTGCTTCTCAGCCTCGAGATGGGCAGGTGTCCGAGGCTGCAGACGTTTCTTTCTGTGGTCCAGTGTTCTTACATCTGTGCTCAAGGACCCGAGTGCTGATCACCTCAGAGGAGTGAACATCTTCCCAGGAAAATATGAACTGTAATCAGAAGCTAAACTCAACCCGTCCAGCAAAGCGAACTTCCTGTTTTGTACGGATACAACCCCAGTTCCTGGTTTTCTCGGGTCACCTTTACTCTTTATCTCTTGGCTACTTATTTTACTGTGGTTACATACCATTTCTGCTTACTTTTGCACATATTTTTATCCATATCGGTGACTCTTTAACCCTCAATTCTTCTGGAATATTCAGTTGCTGCTATCGCTGTACCAAATGTATCCCAGCAACGGGAAGCTATGTGATCTTAGACGATTTGATCCCAGAAGTAACCCAAACACACCCTCCGGCATTCCACAAATCTGGACTCTTGCCAACCCGTGGCGAATACCTCCAGGATTAGGGGAGCAGAATGCATCCCTCCAGGGAAGAGAGCGCGCATTCGAATCTAATAATCTATATCGTGTGTGGATGGGATGCATGGCCAGTTCAGTTTGTTTGGATGCCCTTAAGCACGGTGATGTTTTTTCCGCTTGAGTCAGACACCCAACTGACCCTCAGAAAAAATGATTTACATTTAAACAGTGACTTGCACCGTGGGAGGATGATTCAGGGTATTTAACCCTTTGGTCTGGGCACTCGAGGAAGCTAGGGAGGAAGCTGGGGGAGGGGAGATGACTGCGTGCACAGTCAAAGAGTTAAGGGGCAGTGGGAGGAGAGGGGATAGGGGTTAGGGAGAGGCGGAGGTCCAGAATGGGGCAGAACGGACTGAAAGTTGCTGATGGTGGCGTGGGCGGAGGGACGAGCTGGCTCAGCGCGGTTTCTGGAGGTCACGGAGGGAGGGTGGGAGAAAGTCAGAACAAGGGGGTTGAATTCAATCCGCTGGAAGATGGAAGCGATGGGCTTGGGGTGGGAGAGGACTCGGGCTGCAGAGATCTGGACAGTTTGCTGCTTGTGCTGACCCAGCGAGAGAGAGAGAGAGAGAGCACACATAGTGCAATTGGGGGCTCGTGCAAGCCAAATACCAATGGAACTGGATGGGCTGAACCCATCCAATCACACTATGTGTGCTCTCTCTCTCTCTCTCTCTCTCGCTCTATGCCTTGGGAAGGTTACTTACTCCAGCAACAGTGAGTGGGAATCCGGTTGTTAGTCGAGGGGTGGAGGGAGGAGGGGAGCTAACCTAGAACCTTCTTACTCCACCACCGTCCCGTTTTCCCCCCCCCACCCAAAAAAAAAAGGAAGTCGCACTCATTGACTTTTCTCTTTCTTCACTGCCTTGGAAACAGAGCGAGACGAGATCGTGAAGGCAGGTGAAGTCCGTCACTTTGTGCAACGCTCGTCCTGCCTGCTGAAGCTGAGTGACGGTCAGAGCTACCTGCTGATGGGGAAGAGCGGAAAGACGAAGGACGAGAATGGGAAGTGAGTACAAATTTGACACGGTCAGGGGAACGGTTTTTTTTTGGGGGGGGGCACGACACAAGAGGTAAGCCCTGGAAGCTGAACTGGATCCAAGGGAACGTGCACGGTAAAGGAAAGTTCGAATCAAGTCCACCCGTGGCACTTTTGGTGTTCCGGTTTCAAGGGATTTGGACAAGATGGTCGTTCTTTCAAAAACGCCGGCGAAAGGGCACAATGTACTCGGTGGCCTTCTTCTGTGCTGTAAGATTCTATGACTCGACTCGATCGTTAATGGTGGGAATGCAGTCTTTTTTTTATATGCATAAGGCTTACAGGGCTTACTGTTTCACATCCCCCGCCCCAACCGCCCTACCATTGGTGGCTGGGCCTTCAGCATCTCAGCCCCTCGGCTCTGGAACTCCATCCCCCAGTACCTTCGCCGCTTCCTCCCTTTCCTCCTTCAAGGCCGGTCTCAAGACCTTTCTCTTTGACCTTCAGCCTTCTGCTCCCCTCTCGACTCTCTACCCCCTCCTCGCTCCCTCCCCTCGCACTGACCATTTCCCCCACTGCTCGGGTCCCGACCCAACTGTCCAGCGCTTCGGGACGTCCTCCCGACGTGAAAGGCGCTCTATAAATGAAATGCTGTTGTTGCTGTTGTTACATCTGGGCGCTCCTTAACTGCATAGAATATGAAAGCCAAAGGATGACGTCAGTGTGGAGTAAATCTCAACAGATGGAGTGAAGCGAAGTCTGTGGCAAGGAATGGCTCATGGGCGAGTTTGTGTTTATTCTGATCTCTGCTCGTGATTAACTGTTTTAATCTTGTACTGAACGGCAGAAGCGGAGGACACGGAGGCCTGTGACTGAAGTGGGGTAAATTCAGACCAAATTGAACTCGATGGACCTTGGTATTCTTTTGCCTAACAAACTCTGTTGTGTCCTTACGTTCCTTCTGCGCCACAGGATGCAGTACGTCCTGGACGCTGATTCATGGATAGAACAGATTCCATCGGATGAAAAATGCCAGGGAACCAAATCCAGAAAGCCGTGTAACAAACTGTGGGAGTTCATGGAGCAGCTGGAAAAAGAAGGATGTCAAGTGTAGCGAGCGAGAGAGAGAGAGAAGCTATCTTTAATGCTTGTTTGTGACCCCCTCCACCCCCAACCCTCCATTTATCAATGCTCTATAATGGATATATATTTGTGTCAAATCATCACAAACCTCAATAATACTAATAATAAAATGATAAGCATCCTGGCTTTCGTGAGTGACTGATCAACTCATCCAAACATCTCAAGACACTTTGCTATCTCAGTGATAATACGTCGATCCTGTGACCATCAATTTGGAGAGAGAGAGAGAGATACAGAGAAACACAGAGAGAGAGAGAGAGAGAGACGGGGAAACAGACAGAGAGAAGTCGCGGCGGGAGGCGTGCAAGCCGAATAATAATAATTATAATCCAGACGCACACAGACTCACATAATCACCTGACACACACACACACTGACACACACCCTTACATAAATACCCTGACACACACACACACACACTCACTGACACACACCCTTACATAAATACCCTGACACACACACACACACACTCACTGACACACACCCTTACATAACAACTGACACATCCTCACATAAACACCGACTCACACACACACTGACACACACCCTTACATAAACACCCTGACACACACCCTTACATAAACACCCTGACACACACACCCTGACACACACCCTTACATAAACACCCTGACACACACACCCTGACACACACCCTTACATAAACACCCTGACACACACCCTTACATAAACACCCTGACACACACACCCTGACACACACCCTGACACACACACCTGACACACACCCTGACATAAACACCCTGACACACACCCTTACATAAACACCCTGACACACACACACTGACACACACCCCTACATAAACACTGAAACACACTAACTCACATAAACACCTGACACACACACACACACACATACACTGACACACACCCTTACATAAACACTGAAACAGGCACACCCTGACATAAACAGCCTGACACACACACACACACACACATCCTTACATAAATACCCCGAAACAGCACAGGCACACACCCTCACATCCACCCACAAACAAGCTCACACGCTCCCTCATATTCTGACTCAAAAACTCTCGCAGAAACACACACACAACCTGACGCACATCAACTTACGCAGACACCCTGATATGCACCCTCACCAATCCTCAACACATTTCTATGTACGTAAACCGTATATCCATATTTAATAGAATCACAGAATTGCAACCGCACAGAAGGAGGTCACAGAAGCGAGAGACCCGAGTTCAATTCCAGGCAGGTCAGGGCGAAACCTTGGGCAAGTTTCCTTACTCCACCCAGAGCCTAATAATAATCCCTCCAAAACAAAAAATAATAAATTGGTCATTTTCAATCTACGACTGTTTGTGGGACATTGCTGTGCGCAATTGGCTGCCGCGTTCGCCCACAAATATACAGTCAATTCACTTTACAGTATATTCTGTGAAGCGCTTTGGGACGTCCTCCTGACGTGAAAAGCGCTATATCAAATGCAAGGATTATTATTATTATTATTATTCGGCCCATCGGATCCATGTGGGCTCTCTATGAAAGAGATCTGTCCAATTAATCCCACTCCCCCGCTCTCTCCCCACAGCCCCCCCAAACATCTATCTACTTCTCTCTTGAAAGTTGTTATCGAATCAGCTTCCACCACCCATTCAGGCAATGGATTATTATTATATTTCTATGTATCACATACACATCTCAGATGCACCTTCGCAATCTACGCACATCACCTCGTAACGTGGCATCTCTTCACAGTGACTGACACACCTGCCAATGGAAACAGTTATCTACTCTATCAAAACCTCTCATAATCTTAAAGACCGCATAACCGCCCAGCCGCCACCCCAACCCCCACCCCCACCCTACTCCCACCCCCGGGTTGTCCTGCCCTCCCCCTGGTCAGGGAGCCTGGACGGCTCACCAATGGCCGGGGACAAAATCGGCGTCAGGAGGAGGAGCGGCCAAGGAGGAGTTGGCTGTGTCGGGTGTCTGTCTGTAATGTGGTTGGGGGGGTGGGGGTGCAATGTGATGGGGGGGTGTGATGTGATGGGTGAGTGTGATGGGGGGTGTAATGCGATAGAGGGGGTGTAATGTGATGGGGGGGTGTAATGTGATGGGGGGGTGTAATGTGATGGGGGGGTGTAGTGTGATGTGGGGGGTGTAGTGTGATGGGGGGTGTAATGTGATGGGGGGGGTGTATATGATGGGGTGTAGTGTGATGTGGGGGGGGTGTAATGTGATAGGGGGGTGTAATGCGATAGAGGGGGTGTAATGTGATGGGGGTGATGTGAGGGGGGGTGTAATGCGATGGGGGGGTGTAATGCGGATGAGGGGGTGTAATGTGATGGGGGGTGTAATGTGATGGGGGGATGTAATGTGATGGGGGGGTGTAATGCGATGGGGGGGTGTAATGTGATGGGGGGGTGTAATGCGATAGAGGGGTGTAATGTGATAGGGGGGTGTAATGTGTTGGGGGGGGGTGTAATATGTTGGGGGTTGTAATGCGATGGGGGTGTAATGCGATAGAGGGGGTGTAATGTGATGGGGGGTGTAATGTGATGTGGGGGGTGTAATGTGATGGGGGTGTAATGTGATGGGGTAATGTGATGGGGGGTGTAATGCGATGGGGTGTAATGCGATGGGGGGTGTAATGTGATGGGGGGTGTAATGCGATGGGGGGGTGTAATGTGATGGGGGGTGTAATGCGATGGGGGGTGTAATGTGATGAGGGGGTGTAATGCGATGGGGGGGGGTAATGTGATGAGGGGGTGTAATGCGATGGGGGGTGTGTAATGTGATGAGGGGGTGTAATGCGATGGGGGGGGTGTAATGTGATGGGGGGGTGTAATGCGATGGGGGGGTGTAATGCGATGGGGGTGTGTGTAATGTGATGGGGGGGTGTAATGTGATGGGGGGGGTAATGCGATGGGGGGGTGTAATGCGATGGGGGGGGGTTCGCGGTTGCTGAGAAACCGTTAACAAGCATTTGGTTTCCAACCGACCCCCCGGGAGCCGCGCGAGAGAGAGAGAGAGAGAGAGAGAGACTCCGCCGTCACCTGGAGACTCTGTTTGTTTGTTTGTGATCTCCTGAGCAACGCGTCCGCTTGGCCGCGTCTCTCCCACCATCGCTCCCTCTCTCTGTCTCTCCCCCCCCACCCCACCCACCACCCCCCACACACACACACACACACACACAGACACAGACACACAGAGACACAGACACACAGAGACACAGAGACACACACACACACACACACACACACAGACACACAGAGACACAGACAGACACACACACACACAGACACACACACATAGAGACACAGCCATACACTCACACAGACACATACACAGACACACACAGACACATAGAGATACAGACACATGGAGACACAGACACACACACACACACAGACATAGTCACACAGACAGACAGACAGACAGACAGACACAAACTCACACGTGCACAGAGACACAGACAGACACACACATAGACACACACACACACACACAGTCACACAGACACATAGAGACACAGACACATGGAGACACAGACACACACACACACACACACAGACATAGTCACACAGACAGACAGACACAAACTCACACGTGCACAGAGACACAGACAGACACACACATAGACACACACACACACACAGTCACAGACACACAGAGACACAGACACATGGAGACACAGACACACATACACACACACACAGACATAGTCACACAGACAGACAGACAGACAGACACAAACTCACACGTGCACAGAGACACAGACAGACACACACATAGACACACACCCACACACACAGTCACACAGACACACAGACAGACAGACACAAACTCACACGTGCACAGAGACACAGACAGACACACACATAGACACACACCCACACACACAGTCACACAGAGACACAGAAACATGGAGACACAGACACACATACACACACACACAGTCACACAGACACATAGAGACACAGACACACACACACACACAGACATAGTCACACAGACAGACAGACACAAATTCACACGTGCACAGAGACACAGACAGACACACACATAGACACACACACACACAGTCACACAGACACATAGAGACACAGACACATGGAGACACAGACACACACACACACACACAGACATAGTCACACAGACAGACAGACACAAACTCACACGTGCACAGAGACACAGACAGACACACACATAGACACACACACACACACACACACACACAGACATAGTCACACAGACAGACAGACACAAACTCACATGTGCACAGAGACACAGACAGACACAGACACATACCGACAGACAGGGAGACAGACACACTCACATACAGTCAGAGCACCGACACGGAGACCCACCGACAGAGAGACCTAGAAAGACACACACACACACGCGTATATGTAGTGAGTGTATGTAGGGTGTAGTGACTGCGTAGGGAGTGCAGTGACTGTGTGAAGCTGCGTATGAAATGTGTGGGGTAGTGTAGTGATTGTGTGTGGGTGTGTAGTAATTATGTTGAGTGTAGTGACTGTCGGAGTCCAGTAACTGTGTGTGGTGGGGTATAGTGACTCTGTCTGTGAAGTGCTGTAGTGATTGTGGGTTGAGTGTAGTAACTTTGTGTGGTGATTGTACGTGGGGGCGGGGTGCACAGGGACTTTGTGGCATGGTCTGGCGTCTGTGTGTGGTGTAGTGACTGTAGTGGGGGTTATCACTCTTCCATAAGTGGTACCTTCACCCCCCCCCTCCCACTCCCCTCACATACAGTCACTACAGTTACTCCACTCCACACAGTCATAAAACTACACATTCACTTCCCCTACACAGTCACTACACCAAACACAGTCACTCTACACCACACAGTCACTACACAACACATAGTCACTACCTTCCACATACAATCACTGCATTCCACAGTCATTACACCCCACATAATCAGTACACCACACACAGTCACTACACCACACAGTCATTACATCCCCCACACAGTCACTGCACAACATGCAGTCACTACACAATACAGTCACTGCACCACACGCGGTCACTACACAACACACACTGTCATTACACCAGTCACTGCACCACACGCGGTCACTACACAATACACACAGTCAATAAACCACATAGTCACTGCACAGTCACTACACCACAGTCACCACAGAACATAGTCACTACACCACGCAGTCACTGCACAACACACAGTCACCACCCCCACACACAGTCACTACCCCCCCCACAAACAATCACTACCCCCACACAATCACTACACCCCACCCACAGTCACTATATCCCACACAGTCACTCCACCACACGCAGTCGCTACACCACATAGTCACTATACAACACAGTCAAACAGTCACTTCATTCCAAACACAGTCACTACCCCCCACACACAGCTACTGCCCCACACACGCGGAGTCACCACAGCAGCAGCGCACAGTCACTACATCACGCAGTCCCCACACGCACAATCACATATTGTTACTGCACCACACGTCCAGGTCACTGCTCCCCACACCCGGTCAGTGACTCCCTACACAGTCACTCACTATATCGGTGTGTGTGTGTGTGTGTGTGTGTCTCTGGGTCGGTGGGTCTCCGTGTCTGTATTCTGGGTTCGATTCCCGGTCGGGGGGGGGGGGGGGGGAACCTTGGGCAAGTGGGGGCTATTGCCACAAAAAATAATAAAAACGATCATAATTTGGTCACTCAATCCAATGTGTGTTTGTGGGGACACCGCTGCGGGCAATTGGCTGTTGCGTTTCACCCACACAACACAGTCAATGAGCTTCACGGTATTTCCTGTGAAGCGCATCGAGACATCTCAACTGCAACAACAACAACAACAACAACAACAACGAGATTCCATTTATAAAGCGCCTTTCACGTCGGGAGGACGTCCCCGAGGCGCTGCACAGTTGGGTCAGGACCCGAGCATTGGGGGGGAAATGGTCAGGGTGAGGGGAGGAAAGGGAGGGAGCGAGGAGGGGGGAATGGTCAGGGTGAGGGGAGGAAGGGAGGGAGCGAGGAGGGGGGAAATGGTCAGGGTGAGGGGAGGGAAGGGAGGGAGCGAGGAGGGGGGAGATGGTCAGGGTGAGGGGAGGGAAGGGAGGGAGAGCGAGGAGGGGGGAGATGGTCAGGGTGAGGGAGGGAAGGGAGGGAGCGAGGAGGGGGGAGATGGTCAGGGTGAGGGGAGGGAAGGGAGGGAGCGAGGAGGGGAGAGATGGTCAGGGTGAGGGGAGGGAAGGGAGGGAGCGAGGAGGGGAGAGATGGTCAGGGTGAGGGGAGGGAAGGGAGGGAGCGAGGAGGGGGTAGAGAGTCGAGATGGGAGCTGAAGGCTCGTCAAAGAGAAAGGTCTTGAGACCGGCCTGAAGGAGGAGAGGGAGGAGGCGGCGAAGGCACTGGGGATAGAGTTCCAGAGCCTCGGGGCTGAGAGGCTGAA